TTATCATCGGTATACTTTAAAAACAGCGTATATGAGCAAGGAAGACATTCTGTACTGGTCTATGTTAAAGAAGTTCCCCTTAAATATGTTTTTAACAAGGTGTTGCAAGATATATTTATTCAAAAATAAGCTCAAAAATGCAGAAGAATGTCCTAAAAAGCTGCCATGTATTTCATACCAAAGACAACATCAAACCTGAGAGGTATCAACAGTGCATTAGTCTGGTGATATTTAGTCAATACACAAATATAATCAGTTTACTTACATAAGTCCCCTGCCCATTGCATACTATCAGCTCTACCAACACAAGATGCCTTAAGAACATAGCTTCCTTCACTTGTACTGTTTTCAAATACCACCCTTATCTTTAGTTAGAACTCACCTGTTTCTGTGTTTATATTTTTATCTAAACTTTTTAAATTATATTCACTTTTTACTGTCCAATGTTTTTTCCACATATATAGAGACAAACGCATAGATGTGCACAGTCATTTACTTTTAACCTTTGAAACTATTTTGCTTGAAAGACACTTCCTACTATCTCTCACTCTGCTCCACAAACTCTTCACCTTGCCACTCCCTCTCTGCTAAGAATCCGCAAAACACAGCCCATTTACTAACAGTAACAGAGACATTGCTGCTGCATGGTGGATTCTTCCCCACCCCGATCAGTTGCATGTGTGCATGATTACTAGAAGGACTATGTGACTCTTCTCACTGCTCTTATCTGTTAGGGTTAAAAACAAATAGAAAGTTGCTAAGACTTCGGAACTTTTCCTATTACAAAAAGCTTCAAGACTGCATATATATTTCCAGGCAATAATATTACTGTTTCCCAAATGTTTGTTACAGAAATCTATTTTATAAACTTGTATAGAAGTGTTGCCTACCAGATGAGTTTCTTTCTGAAAAATCTTAAGGTTAAGCAGCTTTGTCATATTACCACACCACAGCACAAAGAAACTACCAGAATTGTTTCTATGAGTTTTATTTAGCACTAGTAAAAAGAGACGACAGATAAACCCAAGGGTTTTGTGAGCATGAGAAGCAGCAGATCCTATTCTGCCCAAATTAGAAATCACTAATCCATTTTACATACTTTTTGCCATCAGTGCACATCAGGTCTCACTCATTTGGGTAGTTCGGGTGTAAAAATCAGTTACTAACTTCTGCTGTATGTTCATTCTCCACCCAAAAGTATGTGAAGTGTGATTACAATGGGTGTATTACTCTGGTAAAAAGATACAACAATTTATTGCCACAGCTGAAAAAGTGGCCAATAAGATGAATAAAGCTTCAAAGGAAGTATGAAATGAAAAAGGTTGGCGCAACAGCCTCTGTCCCTTCTTAGCTATTATTCGGTAGATACATATTTGCAGCTCTCGGTGGAATCACTAACCGCCATCATCTTATTAAAACCAGAATCAAAACCACAAACCAGTCACCCATCACTACCAAAGTACTCTTCTGAAGGCACAATCGGCTGCTCTGAAGTTAGGACACTTCTCTTGAGAAAGGGATGCCGGGGAAGGAGCAAGAAGGAACCAAACCGCATCCCCCGTGCGGTGTGACCTTGCGTGCAGCCCGCAAGGTGCTTACGCGCGTTCCCCGAGCCTTCCTCTGCGGGTACACACCGGCGACCCGGGGGAATGGAAGGGCTCTCCGGGGACAGGAGGCAGGAGGGGCCGCGGCTCGAGGAGATGAGCCAGCGGCCGAGCGAGGCCCGCCACAGCCCCGCGGTACCGGTGGGAGAGACCCGCCCCTGCTGTGCGCTGCCCCCAGCCCACGAGCCTCCCCACCCCACCGCCGCGGCCTGACCTGAGGAGCGCCAGGAAGGCGGCGGGCTCGACATCGGGCAGCTCGATCTCGGCCGAGGTGGTGGCCATGCCGCCGTTAAACATCGCGTCGAACACGGCGCTGCCGGCCGCCAGCACGAAGCGGTGAGCGGGGATGCGCTGCTGGCCGGGCCCTGGGGACGCCCCCGCGCCCGCACCACCGCCGCCGCCGCCGCGGGGGCCTCCCTTGCCCACCACGAAGTGCACGTCGCTAAGCAGCTCGTTGGAGAAGAGGAAGGCGAAGCGCTCCCGCAGCGACCCCTTGGTGGCCTGCCAGTTGTACAGCGGCTCCCGCTGCAGCACGGCGCCGGCCTCCACCGCGGCGGCAGTGGCTGTGGCGGCGGGTGTCTCCACGGGCGCACCCGGACCGCCACCGGCAGCCGCCATCGCCGCCCTGAGGGGCCAGGCCGCGCCGCTCCGTCTACCGGCAGCACACGAACGCCCGACGTCAGCCGCTTGCCGCGCATGCGCCTCTGGGCCGCGGAAGCTCTCGGTGCGGACGCTGCGGGCTAGGCTGCCCTTGCGAGCGGGCAGCGGCTGGGCCGTGCTCCGGTCCGTGTCACTCGTTAGGCTTGTAAAGGCGTTTCATGCCCGCGTGAGCGCGCTTCCAGAGCCGTGAGAAGGGGAAACCAGGTGTGCGAACCACAGAGCGCTGCGGCAGGCACGGGCCTTTACACCGGTACATGTGGGAGCGCGCACACGGTGCAGGTGTGTGTGCACCTCAAATGTAAACTCCTGCTTATAATACCGTTCCTGACGGTAGCAGGGAAAACAAGGCTCGATCACCTACTTTAACTGTTTGTGAAATAATGTTGGAATGTGCATGACTGTTGATGCACGTACCTTGCGGTGCTTGTACAGAAGAAATCCACTTAGAGTGTGTTTGGACATTGTGTGTTTTAAACATCTGAGGAGAAAAATCAAAGCAAACCCAGCAACTCTGAAGGTAGCAGTGAGGCAGCGCAGCAGCCATCAAATGTAATGTCCTTGGACCAGGGAACATAGAGTGGTGAGTTCATAGAATCGTAGCATGGTTTGGGTTGGAAGGGACCATCAAAGGTCATCTAGTCCAACCCCCAGCAGTGAGCAGGGACATCTTCAAATAGATCAGGTTGCCCAGAACCACATCCAGCCTGGCCTTGAATGTCTGCAGGGATGGCACATTCACCACCTCTGTGGGCAACCTCTGGCAGTTTTTTACCCCTCTCATTGTTAACAGTTTCTTCCTCACGTCCAGCCTGAATCTCCCCTCTTTTAGTTTAAAATCGCTACACTTCACCCTGTCGCAACAGGCCCTGTTAAAAAGTCTCTTCCCAATTAATTGGGCAAATTCTGACAAGCAGTATAAGTTCATTTTTAGTATACTGTCTTGGTCGGTTTTGAGAAAGAGAAGGGAAAGAAAAAGGTACCTTTATGTTTTCAGAATCCTCTCAAACCACTGTCAGTTTTAAAATAAGGTGGATCATTTTGCCATCTGCTGGAGTTCTGCTGTAAATACAGCAGCAATTTGAATTACAGAGCTGAAAGCTGTTTATCATAGCTCCTGACTTGTCAGCATTTATAGAAACGTGTGGCTAAAAGGGGAATAGAATATGTCACCACTCTGCATTTAGGTTTATAATTAGGACAAAACTGAGACCAAGCAAATGTGGTCCGTTTCGCAGAACGAGTTTAAAAGAACCTTAAGCAAGGTGGAAGCAATTTCAGCGGGGTAAACTATAGTGGGAAAGGGCACAAGAAGACATAGTATACCAGCCAGAAAGCAGCAAGTAGCTGTGCACAGAGGCTATATTTAAAAATAAAACCATACTGCTGACTTAGAAGAATGAAGGTTATCACCTTTGCGCTTTTCTTGTCCCAAGGTGGGCAAAGAAGGGAAAGTGGGAGAAGCCCAGATTCCATCTGACAGTTTAGGGATGGAGATCTGAAAAACCATGAGGGAAATGGTGACACCAAGGATACAAATCAGTAGTTTTCTGGGGATTTTTTATTTTGGCCCTGGGATGATCTGGGTATTAATGAGAGTTTCTGCATTGCTGTCTTTCTGCTTTCACCTACCTTCATTCACTCACAGGTTAGTCTCTCAGCTGAGAGCCAACAGCCATGATTCTCATAGAGAACCACGGCTGTCAAAAGTCAGTAGCAGAGGATGTTAACAAGGACAGAAGAGGGTTAAGAAAATAAGAAGGAAAGGTACGCCAAAGAACTGAAAGGAGGGTGGTTGGGGCAGAGAGAGTATGTAAGACACCTTTCAGGATGAGGAATAAATCACAACAAGATAAAGCTATGAAAGACAGAAAAAATGGGAAAGACCTATGAGATGAGCTGAGAAAGAAAACAGAGAAAATCATAGAATCACAGAATAGTTAGGGTTGGAAAGGACCATAAGGTCATCTAGTTCCAACCCCCCTGCATGGGCAGGGACACCTCACACTAAACCATGTCACCCAAGGCTCTGTCCAACCTGGCCTTGAGCATCACCAGGGATGGAACATTCACAGCTTCCCTGGGCAGCCCCTTCCGGTGTCTCACCACCCTTACAGTAAAGAACTTCCTCCTTATATCCAGTCTAAACTTCCCCTGTTTAAGTTTGAACCCGTTACCCCTTGCCCTATGACAATGAGGGTAAAGAAATAAAAATAATATGAAATCAAAGTCTGTGGGAGAAAAAGAAATAAAATAAATTAAAAAAAAACCAAAACAAAACAGGAAAGGAGACAAAAGAAAGGATAGAGGATATGAAGAAAAGGAGAAATGTGACCTCGATGCCCATATGCTGGAAGATCTGATCAGCTAAAAGCCAAATGCATTAACTTAAACAGTTCTGGAAGTGAGAACTAAGAGAATATTAAGTAACATATTTCCTTCTGAAACTAGACTTTTCTGCATGTAGACAATGAGCCTCGGATATTCATTTCACCTTGTAATCTTCATGCCAGCTTCCTTCCTAAAAAAGTCATCTGTTTTTTCTTTGGCATTACCAGTAGGTGGATTGCAGCCATTTTTAAATGTGATGTCATGGGATTGTATTCATCAGTCCAGATCAGAAATAATACACAATGCTTTTCCCAAAAGGAGCTACATATGAATGTCACTAAAATTCCATCCTGTTGTTTGCTTTCTCAGCATGCTCAGTTTGTGTCTAGGAAATGCAGCAGACGCTAATATAGAGAAAAATATTTGTATAATGTAAGCAGTGCAAATTGGCCCAAGAACTTTTTGTTTGATCTCATGTAACAGAATGGCTACAAATCAAGGGCTGCAGACAAAAGTTCAACAGTATTATATTATATATCTGTGAAGGTTGTCCTGATCACTAGCCAGCAAAACAGAAGGTCAGGGAGTGTCTACACTTTTGAGCAACTCATTTTCAAGGTCTGCATAATGGCCTGAGCAAGCTCATGCTGACCTGGTGCCTTTTTTCTGTGGAAATTCATGCAAGAAGTACTCTCCAAGTTTTGAGGTTCCTTTACCTGTTGTCAGGAAGAGAGAGTGTTTACATACACCAGGGAAGAAGCAGAGAATGTCCTGATGAAACTGCAGGGATTTCTGAGACACTTGTGATGCTGGGGATGTCCCAGAGACACAGGAATGCTGCCCCAGGGGCCCTGGTCTTGCCTGCCAGTGAAACGGAGCCAGTTCTGTGAGAGCCATCAAAAGGGTTTGGGTTACAAAGCATATTGTTTTCAATCATTTGTTCCTGAAATTATTTGAATTCTCCTCCCTTTCCTTCTTTTCCCCACATGAACTCGGCTTTGTGTATGTTCTGAGGAGCTGTTTGTTGTTATGATCAGGGTTTTTGAGCTGGCACATATTTTTACAGTGATTAGCAATTGTTCTTGTAGCAGTTTGTCTGCTTCAGGAGGGAAGAGAATAATTCATTGTAAATCACAGGTTTGTTTCTGATTAAACTTCCTGGTTGGGGCCACTTGATGACATCTTTTCCTTTCCATGTTCAATTAGATTCTTAAAATCTCCTACATCTGATCTATGCCATTGCTGTGAATGACAGGCATCAGTATTACCACTCTGGTGACTGAATTATTAGGAGCATTACAGTTCTCAAATGTGTTAATTTGCAATAACAATGCATAATAATAATGATGATATTTCCTTGGGCTAGTTACTGTGATTATTACTGTTACTGTTATTTTCCCTCTGGTTTGCATTAATCTGTGCTGTTGTGATGTGGGGTCTACAGGTAATGTAACCTTGCAGGTTTTGGAGCAGGGGATCAATGCATGCACAGAAAACAAATTCAGAGTCTCAGATTTGAGAAACACTAAGGGCAGGGATTACTTTTTTTTTTTTTTAAATTATGTCGTGTAAAGTGCTTACAGATTGTTGATACTCAATTTTAGAAGTAGAATGGACACCCATTAATTCCTTTTTGCCTGCTTCTTTGGTGCAGTGATTGCTGCTGGAGAATCCCCCCAGATCCTCAGCAGATCATTAGTGCATGGCCTCCTGACCCCCAGTGCATACAATATGGACTACATTCTATTGCCTCTGGTGCATCATGCAGTCTGTGATGTATAATACAGCATCCTTTGTTAGGTCTTACATCCTCAACTAACAGGATTTTTTTTCTGTTTTGTTCAGAAATAGAACAGGTTGGTTTTAAAGGTGTTAGAGGATTGCAGTTATGTGTGGTCCAAGCTGCTCCCCTGGGACAAAAGTTCCAAACTTTAAGCTTTTAATTTATCTTTTAATGCACTTTTAAATCCATCTTTATCTGGACTGTTCGTTACTGAATTCTCTTGCCTTAAAAACTCACTTGCAAATAGAGGAAGTACACTTTCAAGAATGTATCAGCTTAGTTCAACAAAAATTGAATGACAAGAGTTGTTTTGTAGCAGGGTGGCATTTCGTAGCTGGCACCATAATGCAGTGAAGGCTTGCTGCTTGGCAAAGCCGATGTGAACACATGAACAGTGCTTCCATGAGCTATAAATAGCTTCTCTTAATCCTTGCATTGATCTTCATGTGCTTGCTTAAGGTTCACCTACCTATATTTGTATAGATTAATGTAATTTCCTTGATTTAAAATAAAATCAGCTGGGTCTCAATATAATGTTAAACCCTGCAATTTGTCATGATTTAACAAGCAGTTATTAAAGATAAGAGCTGTTTCCCAGACTAAAGACTTAACAGCCAGTTAGTCTCCTACTTTGAAGCTGACCATTAATAAAGCATTTTCATGTCCTCCACAGCATTCTTTTGCTGGCACACTTACAAATGCTGCCTTAGTCTTGAATCAAGACTGATCTGCTGCCATTTAAGTGGAGAGACAGAAGAGAAATATCTTCCATATTATAACTACTGATTGTTGATCCTGTAATGGTCTAATGGAGAAGCTGACAAACATCAGCTCAAGCATGCTGCTTTGTGAGTTGAGCATCACCAGCCAAGCAGCCACACAAGTGGATCTGGTTTGTGGCTGCAGTCAGGATTCCCATTGAGGAATCTGTCATGTGGCATAAGGCTGAGAGAGAGTTGGGCTTCCCATTTAAAAATGGCCATTTAGACAGAAATCACGTAGTTTCTGACAGAGAAATGTACAATGTGGTAAAAGACCATCAGTTTCAACACCATGCTGCTGAAGGGACTGTCTTTCAGATGAAACATAAGATCAGAACTTTAGGAATCTCATGTTGTCAATAAACATGATTCTCTGACAATTTCTGCATGGGAAGGAGTCTTAATTTTAATGTTTTCATTACTTCATTTTGCTTGCCTACGCTTCACTGCAGTTTATATAGGATATTTGCATTTTTCAATTTTATCCTGACATCTATTATTGCTAAATAGTTAAACAGTTGTATGATTTTCTACAAGTGATGGCATCCACATGCCACATGATAATGTTACCATTAATAAAATTCAGGAAAAAGAAGGAAAAAAAAAATTTTTGCAACATCAAGAAATGTTGAGTATGTGACAGGAAGCTGAGAGGTTACACTTACTTTGGTGATAGCAGTTTATCAACACTGCTTTCCTGTAACGCTTTGATTAGTAACTATGTTGTAAAGACACCCTATTCCTACCTTAATGTTTATATTGCCGTGTGAATAGAGGGTGGTACATAGTGCTGAAGTTCTTTCCCTTCCTCCCTCATAAGAGCACTTAAAGCTTTAGAGAAATGCATGTGTTAGTTTTGGAGGACTCCTGCTTTTGAACTGAGGGTGTTGCTTGATCCATAACATAGTTTGCTGTTTGACTTATTTTCTATCTTGAAGTCGAATTTTGAATTATTTGCCCATGGGGAAGTTGGTCAGAGGCTTTGGGGTGCGTGAACTCAATAAGTTTTCCCCTTTTTCTCTAGAATTGGTATCACCTATACAAATAAAGTCAGCAAGAATGATGGGGATATTACTTTCTTCATAAAGCCTGAAATAGAAACAGAGAAGGAAGGCTGGGATTAGAAGAACCTGTAGCTACTAGAAATTAAGATTTTTTTATACGGAAAGCATGGCATTCCAGAATCCACATGTTCAAGACTATCACGTGTGGACTTGGGGGCCTCCTCTGTCAAGAAAAGGAAAGGAATGATGGAGCTGGGAGCTCTTCTTCCACAGGGTGAGAGATGAAAATGAAAGGAAAAAACATGCCCTTTTGAGCAAATGCTTCAAACGTCTCATTTCAGAGGTCTTTTATGCTACCAGATGCTCATAATTTTTTTTTTTATCAAAAATTCATAGATCTCAACACAATAGACTCAAATAACGTGCTGGTGAGCTGCTATGCGCTGACCACACAATGTACCCTGGCAGTTCCCATTCAGAAGCTGAAATAGGACTTGAATAACAAGCCTGCTGTAAATCTGTGCTTCGAATATGCTGGTGGAGTGGTAAAGAAGTTTTCCATACAGTGTTTGACTTTATGGGCATGGGAACTAAGAAGCGAAGCTTGAGACATGAATCTTGAGACTGCACCATGGCAGCTGCATACAAATAAGCAGCCTATACATTTGAAAGCTTGAGAAGTGAACCGGCTGTGCATTGAAAGGTAGGCATTTGGAGGTGGTAAATTTAGCCCTGACTCATCCAATGGCAATTTTGACACTTGGGTGGACTAAATTACTTTTAGGAATTGCATCATGTTTTTACCAGATAGTTTGATTGAGCAGCATGATTTAACCCATTCATATACATGTGGCCAGGCTGTAGACCTTTCTCACTTGAAATAACTATGCAAAGTAATTTGTAACTATGAAAGAATTTGTATATAATATATAGGACATAGATATGTTCTGGCTTGTCAAGCTGCTTTCTCTCAGAGGCAATCATATCAATTAGTGGCTTAAACTTACCAAATAACATCCTAAAACTGTTTGTTTCTTTGTTTGTTTTTTAATTCACTACACTCATTGTAAAAGACTTAGAAGACCCTTTACTGCTGATAGCTAAGAAGCTGTTTCCAGAAACTAGCAGAAGTTTCTTCACAGCTTTATCCTTCAAATTAAAGCGTTCTTTTCTTTCCCTGGTGTTAACTCCTCAAGTATTTACAGAAAGCACTTGTATGCCAAGCTGTTCAGCCTCTTCCTGATGGACAGGTGCCCTGTTTCCTCTGCCACCTTAGCAGTTCTCTGCATCATTTCAGCACGGAGGAATCGGAATCGAGCCCATTATCGCAAATGGGTGCTTTCACAACGGCGTCAATGCTTCCTGCTTTCAACCAGGAGCCTGCCTCGCACGCTAGAAATGCATTTGCTGCTTTTCCCCAGGCAACACAGGATGGCCGTTCTCTTTTGCCAATGTCCTGGGTTTAAATGCTCGCTAACTTCCAGGAGGAGTGGTTTTCATTTGTTTGCCTTGCACACAAGATGCATTCCACTTCTGTTTGCGCACCAACAGTTTAGTGTTGATACTTGTGTATAAACAAAGTTTGAAGCCAGAAAAAAAGGTGATGGATATGCGGTTTCTGTTTGTTTTTTTTTTGACATTTGAATAGAAAAGTGAGTTCACAATTAAAACACTGTTTAAATGCTAATGTCCTTATTCCTAATAACCGGGCTAAATTCTGATGTAAAAGGAGATGTATACCTTTTTATCGGGTTTCTTAGCCTCCTGCACTAGCCAGATCAAGGTAACCTCTTTCCAACCTATGACAAGGATCTATTCCAGCAGACACCACTCGCGCACCCCGCTGCCTCCACCTGCGGTGTGCTGCCGCGCCGTTACTCATAACCGACCCGTTCAGCCTCTTTCCCAACGCTTCCTTCAACTATTGCAGCAGCCGCTTGGCGCCCCGCCGGGGCCGTTCGCTGCCCCTTCGCTCCCCTGCCGCCGCTCCCCCACCACTACGGTCCCGCGCGGGCGGCATCGCCGTTCGGGCGGTCCCTACCGCCTGGGCCGGGGCGGGAAGAGCGGGCCGAGCCCCGGGGCGCGCGGGCGGTTGCACCGACCTCCAGCCGCGGCCGGCTCCGCTTTCTGAGGCGGGTTTAACCCTCCCCAGGCGGGGCGGGCAGCGGGCAGGGGCCGGCGGGCGGGAAGGGCTGAGGCGAGGCGGTGCCTCGGGCCGGGCGCGACGCTCGCAGGGGCGCAGAGCGCGGCTGCCGCCTCCCGCCGCGGGCATGAGCGCCTCGGCGGCCACCGGCGTCTTCGTGCTGTCCCTCACCGCCATCCCCGTCACGTACCTCTTCAACTGCCTGGCGGCCACCGGCAGGTGAGGCGGGCGAGGCCGGGAGGCTCCCGCCCTGCGGCAGGGCAGGGCAGGGGAGCGGAGAGGGCGGCGGGGCTGAGGGAGGTGCGGGCGGCCAGGGCAGCCCGGCGGGTATTTTTAGCGGCGGCGCAGGGACAGGGCAGCTGCGGCCGCGGGGCTGAGCGGGACCGGGCGGGAGGCGGAGCGGGGCAGCGGAGGGCGCGGGTAGGGCGGCAGAGGGGACTCGCTCCCGGGTCCTGCCCGCGTCCTCTAACGGGAGCCGCGCCGGGATGCAACCGGGGAGACGTGAGCGGGGCTCTTGGCCCGGGATCCTCACTCCGGGACCCCCAAGCCCTCCGGGTTAGCATCCTCTGCAGCGTGTCCCGGTGCTCCGGAGCAAGGGTCACCGCCTCCGAGAGGATAGAGCGGCCCGGGGGTGCCGCGGGGCCCCGTCGAACCTGCCCCGCACCCAGCCTGGAGCCGCGGGGCAACGGGCGCTGGAGGCTGTCCCGGCGCCCAGCATTCACGAACAAAATCCAATTCTATTTTAAAACGAATGGAAGAACTCACCAGCTCCAGGCACCCCGTCAGACGTGCGAGTTGTAACTGGAAATGTCCATGTGCCCTTGCTCTGCCAAAAAACGAGGATCCCAGGATCAACCGCAGGTCTAGAAAAGAAAGGTCTTTCCTCATGGAAAAAACACTGTACTTAAAGGTCCGTGTGGTATTTTGTCATCCCACAGCCTGCGGTGTTTTGCAACTTTACTTGCAAATATTTACTTGCAAATATTTGCTTCGTGGTTTTAAGGCTTAGCGACATCTGTTCCGTCCTCATTTTCCTCCTTCGGCCGATAACTTGATTTTTAGTTTCTCATTGCTAGAGAAATGCCGAATAACACATGCTGACTTACTTGATTCATTGCCAATATTTATTTCAAAATGATAGACCGCAGTGAAAAGTCACTGCAATATTAACAGCTGTAATGGTATGAAGAAATTCATCACCGGGAAAACAGACTAGCCGGACATTCAAACCATAAACAAAACCAACACGCTAGTGCTGCTCATCCCGACTCAAAGTATGTGTGTATATTCTGATACGTTTGACCTTGCACGGTTTTTGCAATAATTTTAAGTGAAGTTGCACGAAGGCTGATATTGTCATAATATTATTTGTACACAATTTATTTTCTTGACACACAGAATTGGTACTATGTATAAAAATCATATGCCAGATATTTTTAGTGTGTGCTTCTGGACCTTACCTAACTTTCCACTCCTTTTTCACTCCATGCATAAGCACAAAAGTGAAGACTGAGAAGAGTTTTGTCTTAAAGAGAACTAAATAGAATCTACCCAGAGCTATAAACCAATTTCAAACTGATTTTCTTAACTTGCGTTTTCTTGGGGAAGGAGACAAATTTTCTTTGTGCCAAAGATTTTTATCCTTTTTCCTAGCACCACTTTACACGCTCTAACATTATAACCTTGTCTTCAGAGAAAAAGCCTTTTCTGCTGATCTCACCCACATTGCTTACTGACCTCCCAACTGATCCTGTCTTTTAGAGGCCTTTGGTAGCACTTCCAAAACTGGAAATTAGACCTAGATCCACGTGTATTCCATGGGACTGATGTGTTTTATTTGTGAATATGTAATTTCCTGAGTAGATAATTTATTGCTGAGCTGAGACTAAATGTCCCTAATGATCCTTTTTGGCCTTGAAATCTCTCTGTGACTTTCACCTCTCATCGGCCTCTAAGTTTTCCATCATTTTTGTTTATTTTTGCAGATACCAGTATGAATACTGATTTTGGTTAGACAAATCTAGATTCCTGGCTATGTTGTTTATCTAGCTATTTTAGCGTTTTCTTTTTTTAGATGATCACATGTGAAAAGACAGGCACATAAATTTTGCAAAACTATAAAATGAGTTCTATGACAGACTATGTGTCAGACTTTAAAAACTAAAAAGACCATTTTAAAAAGAGACTTAAAATACTTTTAAAGTATTAGAAGTTACTTTAAGAGTGTGGGCATTCGAGGATAGCTGGTGAAAAAAAGCTGAGCAAGCAAAATTCTGCCTCTTTCTTTCTTTTCAATTCTTTTTCTTTTTCACACTGTTACAGTTCCTGGATAATTGTTCCAGTTGGATTGCTGGTTCTGATTTTTATTGCTCTGTTGGCTCGTGTTCTTGTCAAAAGAAAACCACCCAAAGACCCTCTGTTTTATGGTATGTCTTGGTAACAGTGAAGCTAAAATCAGAATGTATTAATTTATATAAATGGTAATATATGACAGTTATTTCAGATTGAACATTTAAAGCATGGCTTCAGAACCCTGTCTGGTGAGATGATGCTAGGGAGCCAAGAAAGACCAGGAAAAAGAACAAGAGTAACACTCAAGCTGGGCCATGACTGTTTGAAATACTGTCATACCTGCTCTGTTAAGATCCTCCTTGTAGCAGGACTTAGACTCCACAGTAGACCTCTCGTATATCTCATCCTGTGTGCACTTGTTTAGTCTTTCTGGAACTTTTGGATCAATGGCCTGCATGGCTTGGTTCTTCCTCTGACTGAATTCCTTAATTCTCCTATTTTATTAGGCTTCTGTGTTAAGTCACCTTTGTGATATACAGGAAAGTTCAAACCATCCCAGTTCCTGGCTTAGGCTGTCTGCAAACTCAAGCATTTCTATACTGATTCTTTGCCATAAAAGAATAGAGATAATGATTACCCTTTAAAAGGACACATTAGTTCTAGTTTACCTTATAGCAAAATCTAGAATAAAAAACTGCTGGTTTTTTTCAGTTTTACAAGATGGGCCCGTAGGCAATGCAGGATACAAACCACCTGTATTTGCCTTCTGTCTTCCTCCTCATTAGTTCTGCATGAGGCTGAAGTCAAAGGAAATAAATAGCACAAACCTACCACAAATAAATTTCCTGTGTCAAAGGAGTGACTTGCTAACTTGTCAGATAAGTCTCCTATGGACTGCTGTGACTGATGCAGTTTGTCTTGCTAACCTCCAAAAATGGCAAGTCATATTTCCCTCTCCACCTCCTTTTTATTGTCCTTTCTCCTTTCCAAAAGATGAGGACAGCCAAGGTTTTACACTATGTATGACCAAGACTTTTGAAAGGCTACATAGTTGTTTCTGCAGACACTGGCTTCCCATGGAGGCTGTGCCTACATCTCAGAGAGTTTTGTATTCCTAAGAAAAGCTTCCTAAGAACTTTGTTGACTAGCCACTGATAAAAAAATAGTACTCTATGTGGGAAAATCATGTTGTATGTTAAATATCTGTGACCTCAAAGTAAATGCATCTGATTCAATAGATCCCTGCCTGATTGATTGAATTTATTGGACTGTGAAGCAGCTGTGTGGTTCTGAATCTTTATTAATTTATTATTTTTTACTCTTTCTCTTATTACAGTTTATGCTGTATTTGCCTTTACCAGTGTAGTGAATCTAATAATTGGACTTGAACAGGATGGAATTATTGATGGATTCATGACTCATTACTTGAGAGAGGTAAGCAATTGTTTGGCTTGCAAATGTAAGTAAAATCTTTACTATAAATAACTTGGTATAGTATTTGCCAGAGGAAAATAGCCATTTACACATTCAAAAGTGTCTTCTTGAACTTGGTCATTGACCCATTTCGTTATGGTTATGGACAAAACTTTCAGTGACCTGAAATCACTCATCTGGGAAAAATAGCACTCTTTTCAAGCTCCAGTGTTATTTCACTTGGTTTAAATAATGGTATTCTGTATTTATTTCTGTGGGAATTGAATAAACTGTGTGTGTTTGCAGAAAACTATAGGTAGGATTCAGGAGTGGATGAGTACTGCAGGACTGTCGTGGTTTAAGCCTAGCTGGTAACTTAGAACCACAATCAGCATTGTTCTCAGACTAAAACTGAAACACAGCACTGCATCAGCTACTAGGAAGGAGGAAAATAACTGTTACAGCTGAAACCAGGACAAGTACCGAAATGTGTTACCAAGAAAGAAACAAAATTGCTCCTTTATTTTTGTCTAATCACTTTACTGAAAGGAACTGGAGTTAAAAAGTGATGACGCCAGATACCTAGTCAGCAGAATCTGTTGACTGCTGAATATCAACATTCACCAAAAATAGCTCAGTAAGAGCTTGACATGAAAGTCATTGAAAAGATCCATGAAATGAGTTGGACCTTACAAGGTTATATGTTGTCATCAGTATATTCAATACTGTTGTGGACCTCGAGGTTGCTAAACGTATCTTAATTTGTTTCATGTTAAGTGTATCTTTAGCTTTTATCACTAAAATATGAAAAAGTAATATTTCCATAAAATAGCAGAACAGTGCTGACAGTAACATAAGAGTCTTCCCTCCCATCTCACACCCTATTTTGCAAATATAGAACTGATTTAATTATAGCTGATCCTACCTAAATAAAATCTGTGCTTGGAAACATTCATTGTCAGTCAAAACCTGTACCTCTGGATTCAGAGAGCATCAGTTTACTTTTCTGAAATTGTTTCCTGCTGTTGAATTAATAAATTATTCTTTCTCTAATCACTGCATCTTTTTTAATATAAATGTTCCCTAGGGTGAACCATATCTGAACACTGCATATGGCCACGTGATCTGCTATTGGGATGGCTCCGTTCATTATCTGATGTATCTGTTGATGGTGGCAGCTATTGCATGGGAGTAAGGAATTTTGATTTGTGTACTGTTTATTTTGCTGCATGCTCGTTTAACCTACAAATGGCATTCTTTGCTATGCGGTATTTAGATTTTTCTTTCAGGACTCTTTCATGTCTTAGGCCAAAGCAACACTTAGTTTTATTACTTTCAGGAACTGTACCTTCACCAAGTTCCCCTTTCAGCTGAATAAGCCCAGCAAAAGCATTGAGTTGAAGTCTGTCTTCTTCACTCTGCAGCAGAGAGCATAAGCACATCTGCATGATATGTGTTATTTAAAAGGAAAGCTTAAAGATGATGCATGTAGAGCAGTTGATGTCATCTACCTGGACTTGTGCAAAGCATTTGACACTGTCCCACATGACATCCTTGTCTCTAAAGTGGAGAGACATCAATTTGATGGATGGACCACTCGGTGGATAAAGAACTGGCTGGATGGCCGCACACAAAGAGTTGTGGTCAATGGCTCAGTGTCCGGCTGGAGACCAGTAACGAGTGGTGTCCCTCAGGGATCGGTGTTGGGACCGGTCTTGTTCAACATCTTTGTTGCTGACATGGACAGTGGGATTGAGTGTGCCCTCAGCAAGTTTGCCAATGACACCAAGCTGTGTGGTTCAGTTGATACCCTGGAGGGAAGGAATGCCATCCAGAGGGACCTTGACACACTTGTGAGGTGGGCTGATGCCAACCTCATGAGGTTTAACCATGCCAAGTGCAAGGTCCTACACCTGGGTCAGAGCAATCCCAGGCACAGCTACAGGTTGGGCAGAGAAGAGATTCAGAGCAGCCCTGTGGAGACCAACACTTGGGGGTATTGGTTGATGAGAAAATCAACATGAGCCGGCAGTGTGCACTTGCAGCCCAGAAAGCCAACTGTATCCTGGGCTGCATCAAAAGGAGTGTGACCAGCAGGTCGAAGGAGGTGATCCTGCCCCTCTACTCTGCTCTTGTGAGACCTCACCTGGAGTATTGTGTGCAGTTCTGGTGTCCTCAGCATAAAAAGGACATGGAACTGTTGGAACAAGTCCAGAGGAGGGCCACGAGGATGATCAGGGGACTGGAGCACCTCCTGTATGAAGACAGGCTGAGGAAGTTGGGGCTGTTCAGCCTAGAGAAGAGAAGGCTGTGTGGAGACCTCATAGCAGCCTTCCAGTGTCTGAAGGGAGCCTGTAGGGGTGCTGGGGATGGACTCTTTGTTAGGGACTGTAGTGACAGGACAAGGGGTAACGGGTTAAAACTTAAACAGGGGAAGTTTAGGTTGGATATAAGGAAGAAATTCTTTCCTGTTAGGGTGGTGAGGCACTGGAATGGGTTGCCCAGGGAAGCTGTGAAGGCTCCGTCACTAGCAGTTGGACAGAACCTTGGGTGACATGGTTTAGTGTGAGGTGTCCCTGCCCATGGCAGGGGGCTGGAATTAGATGATCTTAAGGTCCTTTCCAACCCTAACTGTCCTATGATTCTATGTTAAAACCATGTGTGAAAACCCATCTTTTTCCCCAAAGATATTTATGATAGGAATCTACTCAGCATGATGATCTTTCATCCATGTTAGAATGTATCATGCAATTTAAGAGAAAATAATTATTTCTAGAGATTCTTATGTTTCTTGCTGTTGAATAAAGAGTTTGAGAAACTAAGTACTTGAATTCCAGAGGCTAATGTACCTGCTGGTCACAGAAGCATTAACAGAGTGACATTAATAATTAGTTATTCTTTTATAGTCTTGCACAACCTGTGATATGCAAAATCATGCAGTCAGTCTTTAGATGAGTGGAACACAACATCAAATAACTGAATGTGCACAAATCCTGTCCTGTTCATGTGATAACCTTCTTGCACATGAATGTGGGATTTCCCCCTTTCAGAGTAAAAAATCCACTGTTGACTTGTGGTACAGATTTTTAAACCTTTACTGACTAAGACGCAACCATGGCAGTTGGTGATTTAAGGGTGATTTGGGGTAAGGGATTTTTAGGGCCTATGCAATAATGATGTCTTGTTTTCTTTTTTAAACAGACAAAGCTATAGAACCATTGGCCTCTACTGGCTAGGTTCCATTATCATGAGCATCATTGTCTTTATGCCTGGAAACATTGTTGGTAAGGACATAATTTATATGACTAACATTTTCCTGTGAAGCATTTTCCAAATTCAGCATTAGGCTATCTATATTTTATTGCAATATCGATTCCTTTCTGTAGTAATACAGAAGAGGAGTTTTAGGAATATCAGTAAACAGATGCAAAAAGAACAAAAAAAGTGTTGTATTTTGTTATACCCATAAGGCTTTCATCCAAACTAGGTTTAATTTAAGCAATAAATCAATAACTGCTTCCCAGTATCAGAAAAATATGAAGCTTATTTTGCATAAAATTTCCAATGTATTTAGTAGTCTGACTTTCAAGCACCTTAGAAGAGGCATCCAAATCACCTTTAAAAAGGGAAATCTGGCTTTTACTCTATTTTAAAAAGAACTTTAACACTGCTAGATGTCTGACATAAGTTAGTGCATGGTTTGTGATGATGGAGGTGATTGTAGTAAAAAATCTTACGTCATTATTACCGGCAGGTGCTTCTTTAGGAGTGCCAGTCCTCTCAATTGGAGATTTCCTTTTTAGCAAAGCTTAAATTGATGCAAAGGTGACAGGTGTTCAACTGAGAAAAGTGTTCATGTGTCCAAATCCTGCAGTCAGCTTTAGAAAAGCTTGTTCTGGCTTTTTATGACAGAGGCAGAGTATTCGTGGTGCAGCCTGGGGACAGTTCAGTTCCCTCCTTTGTAGATACACACGCACTACAGAGAAACCAGTCATCAGATTTAATGTGACAACGTTTCTTCCTCTTTCCTCTGGGGAAAGCAGAGAAACTTGTTATCATGAGCATGCCTTAAGCCTTCCTTTCTGCCAGAGAGTAGCCAGTGTAGAGACACAGATTTCCCTGATTTCCCTGGGCTGTCCTGAATTTATATTTTGTCCTCAAACACTAGTACAGACCTGTAGGAGAAATCAGGGCTTTGGAAAATAAATACAGTAGCAGATCTTAAAAAAATGGCTATATTCCTGTTTTCCATTTTTCAAAGAATAATGTCCATTTTTGAAGCAGGTTTCATTAAGAGATTTTAAAGATGCCCCATCCTATAGGATTACCTATGCAGAGTGACTGAGGTGGTTTCCTGTCCCCTCAAAACCTCTCTAATTTCCAAAGTAGCTTCTTGTCTGATAGGCCTTGTCACCCATGACTCTACCACTACTGAGCACATCATTTTCAACAAAATTTGTGTGTTGCTTTAACACTGGTTACTAATGTTTTACATTTACATTACCACAGCTGCTTCAGTGTTTATATTACATAGGATATTTTTTAAACTCTTCTCCAATACAGCTATACAAATTCTTATACATCTTATAACTATTCTTTTAACAGGCAAATACGGAACAAAAGTGTTTCCTGCTTTTTTCTTAAGTATACCATACATTTGCCTTCCCATATGGGCTGGGTTCCGAATTTATAACCAACCTTCTGTGACTCACGACACTCCAGTCAAGGTAATATTGTTGTGTTTAACTGTTGGCTACTGTTAGAAAAACTGAAACCGTTTCTACTGAGTTTTATAGGTCTCTTGGTGAGCATGGAATGCACTGTGACTGCTCACTGTTGTGACAGTTGCTGCCAGTCTGTGTAGGCACTGTTAAAACATCTATACTGCAGGACCATTTAAACATGGTGGGTAAAGAACCCATTTATATGTGTGATTGTGTTACTACACTCTATGTATTCAGTTTCTGACTGTTTCAGTTTCTTAGCTGATGAAAATATTGACATATACCAGCTCCATAAAGTACCACAAAATCCTCATAGAAGCTCTGCAGGAAAGTATTCTTCTGCAGACGACTTACAGATTTCATGTGATTTAGTATTTTTTGTGTGTACATTCTGCAATATTAGATTTTACAGGTAATGTATATTAATTGAGATGTAAATTATTTATGTTTCTTGTTAAAAAAAAAAAAGTAAAAATATTTGCTTAAAACTCCTTAGACCTTTGCCTTTGAATTTAATAGTTGGGCTGTAATAAGGTTAACTGAGCAAGAAGAAAATGCAACAATATTTTATGCAGTGTTTTATATAAAAAAATAGTCCCTGCAGTACAAAGCACACAGCAGATCTTTAACTCTTTGTTGCTATAAGCAAACCAGTTTATTGCCACAGCACACCGTATCAGCTCTATGTAATATGATAAATATTTTTGCATCACGAGAGCTCCTAAGTCTCAGTCAGGTTCATTCTGCAACTGGAAACACAGACACAGATGAAGGAGCTAATTCCTGTTCCATAGCTAATAGGCAATCATTGTGCGAGTGGCATAGCCAGTGCCACAGAATAACAGCAGATGATGCATTGATAGATTTTCCCAGGAATTTATGAAAGAGAACATTCAGCCATCCATCCTTTAATCTTCAGTAGGAAATAGAGGTATAGACAGAGGTTCATATCTCCTGGAGTTTGAAGAACTGCTACAGAATCACCACTTTTAGTGCAAACCTCTATGAAAAGCAAACTGGGGGCGACTTCAGGTGCCAAAACCTCTTCTACACTCCTGCACAGGCTTACAGGAAACTGCATGTCCCATCCCAAAGCAATTTGAACTGATTTACTTAAATGCATCACTAATTCCGACCAGAAACATGTTCTTTAGGGTCATCAGGGTAGAGAAGTTACATATAGTTAGTAATGGTGATTTTTGCTATAAGTATTAGTGAGAACATCCTTTGCTTGGGGGATGGCTGAATGGGTCAATTTGTCTTCCTAGTACTGAGGACACCACAGAAATTGCTATTATAGAAAATACGTGATGGGCTACTTATTTGCTGAAATACAGCCATGTCTCCTATGCTTATCAGGAGCTGAACTGCTTAGCTTAGGTTTGATATTTTACCTTGGTATATATTGTAGAGAAACTTCATTTTTAAATTCTGTTTCAAAATGAGAGTGCATAGAAAGCCGATGATCTGAAAATTGAACATTGTACTTCTTAGTGAATCCTTTCTTATAAATCTAGACTTCCTTACTCAGAAGGTCACAGAGGCAGCCTTGATTCCTTCCACTGGGGCCTCCTATCTTCCTAAGTAGTTTATTTTTCAGGAGTCATATTTATCTTCAGAGCTAACTTATGCTTCATATCATAGCATAAATACCTGTGTTCAGTAACTGTACCTTAAAATGCTTTTAAATCTTAACATGACTACTCATGGATTTCTCATTTTTTATACAACTCCTAGTCCTAAATTATATATTGTTTCCAGGAAGTAATTGTGTGTAATGCTACTAAGCATTGTGAGTCCTGAAAATATTTAGTTCTCTTTCAATGTTTTCCAATTAGCTGTAAAATAGAACTTTTCTTTAGCTGTCATTATTCAGAATTGGTATTGAAAGATTTAGGAAGAAAATGTAATAACACTTAAATATGATAGTGCAAGTATATAGAAAAATACACGAAAGCATGGGAAGCAAGCTATGTTCTGTTGGCCACAGTATTTATTGCTATGATATTATTATAAACCAGTTAATTAAAAAAAATAACTAAAATCAATGTGGAGACAGAGAAAAGAGGTATTGACATCTGGATGTTTTTTGATAGAGGTGGGTGCATAAGAAAGGAATCGAATTTTACCTTCATTCACAATCAAATCAAGCTGTGCTTCAGTGTTTGCAAAGCTCAGCAGATGGATCTCAAGTGTATCAGTTCGGAAAAGTTTAATGTACCTTAAAGCTAACAGAATTAATACACACATTTATATTTGCCTATGAATTCTGAAGTGGCTGACTTCTGCGGACAGCACACGAGGTTATTTCAGTTCCTTAAACCCCGCCATGTAAGGAGCCTCTCAGAAGTTATGAAAATAGCTTTCTCCTGGAAGTGAGAAAAATGACAAAGCAGACCAACACACTTCCTTGCTACACAAAAGAAACAGCAGGGCTGGCGGGCTCTGGGCAGAGCTCCATCACGTTTGCAATACGTGGGAAACGCGTGGCAGCTCACTGCTACTCGGACAGTGCACTTGACACATTAATTCATTTTAGCACATATTGATGTGAACTTGCTGTGTAAAAGAAAGGTGACAAACAGGTCTGTCAGCAAAGTGCATGCTGTCTTTCAGCTTCTTGCTTCTGATTTTTTTATATGTTTTGCATTTTCATTTTGTTTGCGTAAATGCATGCAGAGAAAGAAGGTGCGAGTTTTCCCTACCTTGGCAATTTCACGAACTTGAACTGCACCAAAGGTCATTCCAACTAATACTGGCTGTCTCCAAAACCTCTCACTACAAAGTTCTGTTGTAGCTTTGTGATCACAGTAAATGTGATCACATGCATTTAATACACCTTTTGAAAGGAGGAGTGATACATGTGCATATTTCATACTTAGAGAAAAGTGGAAAGAAAATATATCAACCCTCAACTTTCCATTGTCCTTAGGTAGTCTACACCTGAAAATGACTTGCAACTCAGCAGCCATGGGAGGCCTTTGTCTTTCATAGGAATAAATATTAGAATAGAGACATTCTTTGCAAGGTAATATTACAAACATTCCTGCACTGGTAAATACTGTGAAGTGACACCGTACTGCCACAACAAACCTGTTGTGTTTGAAAACCAAAAGTGTCAATTTGTATTTTAGCTTTAAATGAAAGAAAAAAGAAAGTCAGTTTTATGGAAGAGGTGGCCTTTGTGTTTACAGTAGCACTATTGTTAAACCACAGTTCAGATCTTGCAGTTCTTACTCAGGAATTGTGCTTGCAAGATCAGTTCTCCTGTTTCAGTAACTTTATTGTATCTTTATCCTGAGCACATTTAACTGTGCCTCTACATCCTAATTATTGTTCTGTGCTTTGGAGACATTTCCACAAGTGTGTAACAGGAAGGAAATCAGGTTTTTCTTTTGCCGTCTGTGTGCCAACATGCAACTAATAAAAAGGAAGAGGAAATGAGTAACATATAAATGGGAAAGTTTTTCCATCTGAAAACAGCAGGGATACAGAAAGAGACTCTGATGTACTTGTAGTTTTGTGGCTACACAGTGCTGAAAGAGCTCGTTGAATTATTTCCATAGGTCTTGTAAGTTTTACCATGTAGGCACAGAGATGCCTTTGGTTCCTCCAAAGCCATCTTCTGTGTTAAATATCTACATGGTCTTTGCTACTGTAGAGTGTGAACCCCTCACATTTGCCCATGCAGTGCAGGGGGATTCCTGTTCTGAGGCTGAGGAAGAGGGGTACAGACCAAATCAGATCCAGATGCTGACACGTGCTTCAGTGCCCATCAGAGAAATCTATAGTGTACAGTAATAAAAGAATGAAAGGAGGATTTTCCATTCTCCATACACACACACACACACTGCATTCTCTGTTTGTGTTACACATAAAAGGTGTATCATTTGCTCAGTGAACTCAGCAGAGAACTCAATGGGCCACAGAAAAGTTTTTATTTTATGCCAGTGATATTCCATTAATTTCAGTAGTGTCACAGGCTGCTGGAAACCAGCATTCCCTCTCAATAACGATGGACCCTCATTTCGCTGTCCCTCCAAACAGTCCTTTTACAAAGCATATTAGATTCAACTCCAAATGTTTGAGACAAACCTACACTTCCAAAGCTTTTCTACATATGGACATCGAGGAAAATTAATTCATTCCAATTAACAAAAGACAACTTTGAAGAAATCAGTTACGCTGCTTTAAAGCCTTATGTGATTGCAGAGTTAGTGTTCATTTGATCTAGGTTGCTTTAAAAGTAATCTTTATTGAAATGGCTTTAGTTGGATCCATCCATTTCTACAGTTTATTCACAATTTTCCCACAGCATCCTATCAAGTCTAAAGTCACCTTTTTAGATGTGGAAGTCTTGCCACCTCCAAAATCAGTGGATAAAGAGCATAAGTTAACAGAACTGTGTCTGTGATAACGTTTCAGTGCTTCACCCTTCTTGTAGCAACTGATCTGCAGTTAAATACATGTCATGTGGAACCAGGATGTATTTACTAAACATGTTCTGTGTTGCAGGTGGTTCAGGAAGTCCAGAAGAAAGGACTCTTAAGACGACCAATAGATTTAATGTTAGCTGCGTATCTCATTCTAGCAACGGGGTTTTGCATATTTAGGGGCATGGTAAGTTGAAGATATTTTAATATTCTGTCCTCTAATTTCAGAAAAACTTGAAATCCTTGTGTCTGTGTGAAAAAGTCTGTACATTTTGGTCCAGGGAAATCTTGAGACTTTTAGGGTTGGAATAGCCTTAGACATAAAAAGGACAAATTGTTTATTTATACGGATTAGTGGTGCTTTGCTTCTCCATTTTGCCCTGTATAAAGTATATTTTTCAAAAGGAGGTGCAAATTGCAAGAGTCAATAGCATCCCAAGTGCAGATCAACATAACCTAAACCTGTTTTCATTCTGGTATTACATTTATGGCCAAGAATGCAGAGAAAATAAAACAAGTTGAGTCTGTATTCATGTTTTGCTAAACAGAGATGCATCATTAAAATTATAAAAGAAACCAAGTTAATTTACACTGCATCAGAGAGAGAACAGAGAGAACATTTCCACATGAAAAAAAATTATCCATACTACATGAACAACCCATATTCTACTTGTTTCTACTTACCAAAAGCTTACTTTCAAAAAAAATGTTTGCTTTTTAAGCACAGCTGATTGAATTCAAATTTCTGAGGGAATGAATCAGTACTGAAAATGCTTGAAGTAGAAAAATGCAGTAATAGGTAAATCTAGTCCTTTGTCAGCTCTAAAGCATTTTAAGCTTCTGTCTTAAGCAGAAGGGAAGTTGTGCATCTTTAAGTGAACAGAGATCAAATGTTTAGGTGTCTTAGATAACCACCTGCTTGCTTGATGTGTAGATCTGATCCTGTCTAGAACAATTCAAGTACCCAAATAACATTTTATTTACCAGTGCAGATTGTCCTTTTGTGGTTCTGCTGCTCACGTACTTGGTCATCTTCAGCTGTTTCACTGAAAACCTGCCTCTCTTTTTTTCCTTCTAACTTGTCACAGACTGCTTTATTTCTTCTCATAGGTCATGCTTAAGAGCAGCACTGATAACCATCCGTTTTACTTGTAATTTTGTTGTGGGAAATGTTAATTCACGCTCTAACATCTAATTTGGTTCTACAATCCCACTGCTGCATTTCTCAGAGCAATATTTTTTTTTCTGATTTTGAGTATGGTCATTTCCTTAGATATTTCGTTTGCCGAACAGGAACTGCTCACTGGCCTTACTTATACACACAGAGGTCTCTGCGTAAGCTGCAGTAACCATGAGCTTGTGAAAAAGTGAATAAAATCTAATGCATTATAGTCCACTCAGACCTGATTCTTGGAGGCCCATGTTGGAAAAGAACAGGGATGAATGTCCGCTGTTTGTAAATATTTACATTTCCCCCTCCAAGTCACGTAACAAATGCACGTGAAACTAAGTTGTGCAAAACTTACTGTTTGGTCCTGTCATTTAGGCATTAACAATGCCTTGTCATAAAACAGTGACAGCTGTTGACACAGATGGATAACTCATTTTACACTAGTATTTTTGGTAGTAGTTTTAAGGGCTATCATGAAAAGGAACTACTTTTGTCTCTCTCCGTGTTTATTGTGAACTTGTTCTTTCTATATGAGCGTAAAATCCAACAATCTCCCCTTTGCTACTCTCCTTTAAAAATTAGTTATTTTAAGTAGCACTGTCTCTCTGCATTGCTCTCCACTGCTATCCTGCCACAGTGCAACTTCTCTGTTGGGCTACATTTACAGCTTGCTGTGCTCAATTGGGTGCTTAACCCGAGGTTTCCATTGAGCAATTTTCCATTGGAAAGTTCATTTGCTGGGATCAAAGCCTGTTTATCAGAGCAAATCAATAGCAATTAGACTCTCACTACAGCTTAGCCAACAGACTGAACTCTCTTACGGTCAGAATCTTTAAAGCAGGCTGTCAGCATTTCCTCACAAACCCTCTGAGCAGGAGCTGAGGGGAGGCTGCATTTCAGCTTTTAATTGGTGATCAAATGGGTCACTCACACAACAGACTTTGAGCAAGCCTGTGGGGTAGCAGTGCTGCAGACCACTGGTGAATCTTTAGGGCTGTGGTTTAGAACACGTTCTTTGTTCATGGGAAGTTCTACAAATTCTCCTTAGATTGCTCTGGATTGCCCTGCTGAACTCTGCCGGCTGTATATTCAACTTCATGAGCCCTATATAAAAGATCCTGCTGCCTATCCTAAGCTTCAGGTAAAGCATTGTGGAGCATAGAGTATTAACTGATTTGTGAACTGGTGCAAAGGTGGGTTTCACAGATGACAAGATCAATAAGTGCAGTATTTGTTCATGGCAAGTTAAATGGTACTTCATGTATTCTCATGCAACCATTACAGGGTACCCCTCTTAAACCCTTATACAAACCCTATTGACAGAGGCATGGCAGAAGAGGGAATGCTGTGCTTTAGATCTGCAGCATTTGCGAGGTTGCCATTCTTTTGCAACTCTGGCTTCTGCAAGAACCAAGTATCTCTGCTGAACCTGTTCTTTCTGGGGAAGGTGTGGCTTGGGTGGATCTCGTGCCTCCCAACTGAAAGTGTGATGGAGCTTGAGAAACAGAGCCCATGTTGTGTTGGATGCTGAATTAGGTCAAGCCATGCTTATTGGCATGGTCTCAAGATGGCAAGGGGTAGGAAAACATGTCATGGGGTGAAGTGGATTTGGATGGGGCAAAGAGACAACAGCCATCAATATTAGTGGAGACCTTAGGGTAGCTGGATCTAGTCCACAGCATCCAGGTGTAGTTTTGAGTAGTCTCAGCTCTTCAGTCAATTGGCTAATTTTTAAATGCATTTCCCTCACACTGCAAAGCAACTAATATTTCTGTTTAAAATGCAGATGCTGGCTTACATGTTCTACTCTGTGCCATACCATGTGATCGCTCTGTATGGCCTACTGGTGCCTGGCTGTTCCTGGATGCCCGATTTAACCCTTATACATGCTGGAGGACTAGCTCAGGTATTTCTTTGTAAAATGTTCACTCTTTAATTACAAGATAATGAGTAGAGGCCTATGCAGTAAATAAGGGGCCCATGGCTTGATCATCCCATGCAGGTTTTATGACACTTAAACTCAGATATAACCTTTTATATCTGTAAAAAAAAACTAATTTAAGTGAGTGGAGTATCAAACCTCTTACATGTCTCTAATGAATGACTGCATTCTTGTTTTAGTAGACTTCATCCTAACACAAAATCTTTTTACTGGGCTCATTTAAACCTTATTAAGCACCATGCACTCTTTAGCTGAGACTTGAAGGAAGCCTGTCAAAGCTGTAACAGTCAACCACATAAAAAACACCCCAAACACAACAAAACAGCACAATACTTTGTTTCCATGATATGTGTTGACCAATGAGGTAGTCTGAAAAACGTAAGTGGAAAAAGTATCTACTAGTCACACCAAATGGGCAATGTCAGTTGATGATGTTGGTACAACACCAGGAACCTCCTGGGCAACAGACCACAGTAACACTAAGACATGCTTGTATTGCCAAAGGCAGACCAGTGATTATACTTTAACTCATTCTGTTCTGATTATCTTAAATAAATGACTGTAGTTAATTACAAGATGGTGCTGGTGCTTATGAAAAGACTGACCAAACCAAAATAACTAACAGGAGCTAATAAATAACTTCTCATGACATACAGATGACCATTAAGCAGCTGAGACAGCAACAATTGATTTGTACTGTATGTAAGAAATTAAATGTGCTCTGAGCATCCAGACAATGAAGAAAATACACACATAATCCTGTACCAATAACGTGAACATGGGGACATGGCAATAAGTGTAATTTAGGTACCACTATTAGACAAACACAAACCAATGCTTTGTTCCTCAGGCCTGAGATAATCACAAACTCCAGTCCAGCTTAACTGCCCAGCAAGGATGGGGAGAGTGTAATTTGATCTTCTATTTGTGAGCAATTATCACAGAAAATATGATTACTGTTTCCTACACAGTTTATAGAGAATCTTGAATTACCAAATGATATCAAAACAGAACCTGGCAAACATGAATGAGGAGGTTTAGATGAACAAAAGGTATCATAAATACTATACAACTGTTTGTCCCGTATCTAACTTAAAAAAGCACAAGCTAGCTAAAGTAGGCAAGCTGGTGTCAGGAACCTCTCTCTACTGACAGAGTGTTCAGGTTTCCTGAATTCCCCAGACAGTCAGGAAAGAAACTGCTCCTTCAACAATCACCTAGCACAAGGAAAGGTAAACCAGAAGTCAGAGTGTGCCGTCACAATCTTGCAAGTTTACCAAAAAGCTCAGCCTCCCAGACTGGAGACAGTTTTTGGTTGGATGGTTTTGGTTTGTTTGGTTTTTTTCTTGTTTGTTTTTCTTTTAACTGCTTCCCATAATAAATACTCCCCCTTTTTTTAAATGGCACTTTGTACCTTCTAACTGTATGATTAATACATGCAGCATCTTGGTGCTGCGAAGTCTAAAACCCCTCTGTTATCCTTTGTGGTTTGGCTTCAGGATAATGCCAATTTACGTGTTAGACAAGGAGAAGAAAAGCTACTGGTAACCCAAAGCTAACACTTGCAATTTCCCATTGTACTCTTTAAAGCTTGTCCTAGGCACAAGCAAAAATTGTGGGCTAACAAACACGGATCAAGAGAATGGTGTGGTGCAGCACACCCTCCCCATTTGTCCCAATTCAGGTTTGGGAGAGGGTTTTTGTAGTATTTACTTTAACAGGCTGCAGAATGAACTTCGGTCATCCCACAACTGACCATGATTTAATGGATCTGACCTGGTGAACTGTGAGCAACCTGGGAGGAAAAATGTGTGCGACAATGAATTGAGTACTCCCAGATTACTTTTGGGTTTGGGCATTTTGAGGCGCAAAACAAATTTCCAGGTGTGTCTACTGTTTTCTCAAGTTAAAACATTGTAATTGATACTCAAAACATATGTAATTACCAAAACACATTTTGCTTTCCATTACACATAAAGATCCAATAAAGGTAATGATGGGAGCAGTGCGTATTGCTCCCCAGGGAAGAGCACTTCTCCTACAAACAGCAAACGTGGGAATTCCCATTATTTTTATTTCAACCATTATGAAGTATGTGCTTTTCACAAAAAACAAGTCTCAAACACCATGTGATGCATCTAAACTAAGACCCTCTGAAGGTGCCAAGCCTTTCACACACAGAGAAAACGTACCAGTTTTCAGAATTGCACACAGCTCTCTGCTTGAATTATTCTGTTCACTGACATTCAGACTCCAAACCCAGGTTATAACACTTATTAGACTTTCTGAAGCTCTTTAAATGTTACACAGCTAAAGTACCAAAAGCTCTGATTCTATGAAAGTATTGGAAGCCTCCGAATTTGTGAGCCAGATGAGAACGGATGAAGAGCCTTAGCCCTGCCACCCAAAACCATTCTGTCTCACCAACTCTCCATAGCTCATTGCCCTGTTCTCCAGATGTAGGAAGATTTTCTCTACTCCTTCTCCATCAATTTGCCTTAATGCTGGAATTTTTGGTGGCTAGTTTCTTCCAGTACCCCTTGTCTACAAGAGAACCTAAACCCAAGGAGCATATTTTTCTAAGTTACTTTCTCCCCGCTCTATTTGATGGCTTTCCTCAGGCTCATATGAGCTCGTTCAAACCCCTCCAGAATAAACGGCAATCTTTGCTTGATTTTAGCCAGTTCTGGAGAGAAGGCACAGAGCAAAGAAGGACTCCTAACCTTTTTCCAGGCCCTTCTCTATCCCTAGGAGGAAGGCTTTCCTGACTGCAGGATATGAAATATTCAAAGTACAGTCTACAAGACAAAAGATGTAATTTAAAAAAATCTAAACCCAAGCTATTTCACACAGACAAGAAGCTTAATGAGGATCAGGCACAAATTGCAGTTGTCAGGTTGAGCAGTGCCATGTCCAGCACCAGGCAGCTCCCAACTGCTGGCCAAGGCTTCCGCATTACAAAGGCTGGGTTTTAAATCGATAAGGCTACCTTAGAAATTTACCTGCAGCATCTCATTTGGTTGATTTCTCAACCAAAGTTTAGGGGTTTGATCCTCAAAACTCTGCACTTGAGAGGGTTCAGTGACAGAAAGCAGTAAAGAATGGCTCATTTGCTGAAAGGCGAATCATGGCAAGGTAACACAAGGTAACACAACAGACTCACGGCAGTACCAGCCTGTAGCATGACAGGCAGAAGGCTCTGCAGTAACTAACAGATACTGTCTTAAAATCATGGGTTTGGTGCAAACCTGCCTGGTACTTGAAAGAAGAGCAGGACTGAGCTATTGGTGAATGACAGATCTGCTTTTAAGACACATCCCTGCCCCAAGGGAGGAAAAAAAAGGGGAGGGTGTGGGGAGAAGCAGAGCACTGTGATAGAAAGGAACCACACGAGATAAAAGACATGGCACAATTTCCATACAGACAAATCAATTAAAAAAAAAATAAATAAATTGACTTCAACAGACCTAAATATCCTCCCTGGTAATGAAAGGAAAAAGCCATGTGTTACATTGAAAAACAACTCTAATAAACAGTAACTTCATTATATAGTGCATCATTAGCTAGCAAAAATCTTCATGAGCTACAAACAGAACAAAATGATTCTGCTTTTCCTTTTTAAAATGCTCAAAGCTCACTAATGTGCCACAACTCTTGTAAAAGACCACACAATAAGGCTTAGATCTTCAAAGGCATCGAGGAGGCTGTGGGAGCTCTGGGTCTCTCAACAGCAGCCCTTACAGTTCTGTCTGGCAAGGCTTAATATGGAATATGAATTTACTATCAACTTACTATGATGTACAGCTGGTCACTCTTGGTGACAAGTGGGTCTTGCAGTCCTCCAGAGAAGTACTTAGCTTAACATCTTGTTCACCCCAGAAGAGGCTCTAAGAATACTACCAAGAGGCTGTGTCTTGGTAAACCTCAGGCAGACACAAGCCTCCTCTCTACGTCCTGACACTGGCTGGCTATTTGCTTGGGAAGCTGCTACCCCATGTAACAAGGCTTTGCTCCTGAGCACTAATGCACTTGTTGCCTAGGCTGAGCAGGCTCCCAAGGCAAGGGAAGGCTGAGCAAGGTGCCCCAGGTGCTAAAGGCAGTTCCTTCCTGCCTGAGACAGATGAGGACAAACAAGCTGTGAGAGACAGCAACTTATGAGGCCAATATAAAAAGGCTGCTGATAGTTTGGCCCTGAACATCTCTTTAGTGTGCAATAGCTATTTACAGAAACATGCTAAGCAGCACTCTCCTCAAGTTTGTTTTATTTGATTTCTTTGATTACTTTGTTTCCTGGCTCAGGTGTGGCAGATCAGCTCTCCCAAATCAGTGGAGGTGATCAGAATCACCTGAAAACAAATTGCCTTTTCTGCTTTGATGTATGGCCTCAGCCTAACCTTTTGCTGGAAGAGTGTGTATTAAAACACCTGAACTATATTTATTTCACTTTCTACTTTGCTAACTGTAAGCAAAACTGTTTTCTTTGTGAGTCTCCATCACACATCTCCATGTCTAACTAACTAAATAATAATGAACCAAAATGGACACACAATAGTTAATGTGAATGAGCTGTGGCTTGAAATAGCAGGTAACAGATGGAGACAAAAGACAGTGACTATCCTGACACTTCTATCTTTAAATGTTTGTTTATGCTAAAAATACTCTTCACAGCAAGGTTGTCTTTGCATACAAACTTCACTGTAAACTTAACCTATACTTCAGAACCACTCCCAGCCCAAAGCCAAATACTGCAGACATGTTTGCAGTCATCAGTTCTGGGATCAGAACTTTGGAAGACTGGGTTTAAGGTTGAAAAAGCCCTAACAAACCAAACCCAGAACTAACATAGCTTCCAAGAGTTTACATTCTAACTTCACTCAGAGCGTCTGCCTGCTTCCCGTTGATGCCAAAGATGACATTCCCCTGTAGGTGGGTGCAAGTCCTACCCCCATCACTGGGCTGAGGCCCAAGAGTACATACCTCTGCAGCCTTTTGCCTGGGTAAGGATCCTGGACCCTGTTGCATGAATATCACCCGTAAGCCAAGGGTGAAATCCTGACTTAGAGATCAGTGCCACCACGTGCATAAAATAAACCTCCTACCGTGCCACTGATGGTTCCACTTACGCCTCTTATACCAAGGTATTAACTATCTTAGTTTAGGCTGTATTTTTATACCACTGTGCAAAAGTATGATAGATAATTCTGGAATAAAAGGGCTGGCTTGGAAAATGTCACTGGAGATGCATACTTGCATGCAGATTTTGCCGTCTTTCCAAAATACGCATCAATTTTACCCTTCTTTAACATCTACATTATATATACACCACAGGCTCAATTTTCCCATATTGGTGCTTCTCTTCATGCTCGAACTCCTTACATCTACAGAGTCCCTGAAGAAGCAAAACAGTTTTTCCTGATACTGAACATAATGTATGGGATTCTCCCCCAGCTGTTGGCTTACAGATGTGTCAACAAGCCAGAGTTTTTTATGAAACCAAAACAAGAAGGAAAAACAGAATAACACAACTGTTTTCAGCTCCTCGTTCTGGCTGTCTATATACCTGGGTTGGGATGTAACCGAACTGCTCCAGTGGAACCCGAATGAAGTGTGTAAGATGTGTAAACCTGCACAGTTGTGTAAAGTTGCACGGTCTGTTTTGTTTATCCTACTTGAAAAGGGAAATAAAGACAACTGCCTTCAGTACCACTTCTCAACATCTTGACTTTGCGCTGCAGCAGAGCTGCGGGTTCCCATAGCTATTTTTAAGTAAGCTGCTTTGACAGTTTTAGAAATACTGCATGAAGTTAAATAATAATGATGATGTCAGTGTTTAGCCTCCACACCCTGAAGAGTATCACTGGCAGCAATCCCTACGCAGAGCTAGGCTAGAATGGGAAGGTCAATGTTTTGAGGTGTGAAAAATTAACATACGTAACTCTGTCACATGCACATCTTTTATTTGTCAAAAAGTATGCCTTGTGGGTCAGCCTTCTTAAAAATCCCAAGAAATCTTTTTAAGAAGCAATCAACTTTTACTGTAAGACTCCATATATGATAAGCAAATCATAGTTTTGTTAATTCTTTTAAGGATTCACCTCTGCAAGGACTGCTCATCTGCTTGAAGTTAAGCATGTGCTTAACTAGTTTAACCAGCTCCTCTGAACTGGGCCTAGGGGCTTGATACCTTGGGCAGGTTGACCTTACACCGGAGAATGCAGTTTCAGAGAGGGGTTTTGGTTCTTCTCTGCAGCTACTTTTGCTAATGTTGTTGCTCCTAAACAAGTAGCAGCAAATACAGTGATCTTGGTTTGTGTTGTTTATGTTTCTGTTTGCAATTACAACTATTTCTATGCCTTCTATGTGTATTTACACTAAAAGCAGTACACTTAAGTGCCTTTCTCACAGATGAAATTGGCTGATACATTTTAACTTGAAACACTTTATTTGGGAATGTTGACTTTTGGCCATTTTGATTTAAAGGATCTTCTTTTTAAACCTAACCAGTAATGAGACAGGATCAGTTCATGCATGTGCATGTTGCACCCTGTGCAAGGGGACTTTGACAGCAGCAATAAACTCATGCTGGGAGGCTCTTCTGCTGCATACTGAGCTGTGCTTTGCAGCAGTGCTCAGAAGAGAGACCCCAGGTTTCACACCTCCAGCCAAAGGAGCTGGTCCAAGATAACCCCAACCCACCTCAGTAATGCCTCCTGGTGAAAGGGAGTTTGGCAATAACCCCCTCTGGCACCCAGCCTCCTGCCGTGCTCACTAGAACTGGGGGTAGCTCCATCCCAGCACAGCCTCCCATGAAAACCAGCCCCAAGCTGTTGGGCTGTATCAAGAGGTGCGGGCTCACAGTCAGGTATCCGAGCCGCTGGTGTCACTGCTCATGTTTTTAAAGAAACTTTGAGTACATTCAAGGTGAATTTAATAACCTCCTGTTATCCAGAAAAGGCAAAGTACAGAAAAAATAAAGATCTCACCTGCACTTGTATCTATTATGGTCAACTCATGTTAACAGAATGTTTTGCTTTAATACTTGACTTACATTAATACCTCACATTATTACACGTATGAAGCCAAATATGACGCTAACTTAGTTGCTTACAACCTCAAACCTTACTCCCAATACACATTCCAATAAATTTATTCTGTAAAAACAATACATTTTTTTGTTTTCTTTTTTCTTTCCTTTTTTGTTTTTTTGTTGTGTTTTTTTGTTTTTTAAGTTTTTTACAGTAAACTCATCAACTACAAACCTTGAATACGCAAAAGATGTTCCAAGGACAAGCATAACAAGGATTGATAAAACCAGACTAAATATGTTTTCACAATAAAAGCTGGCATAAAAATAAATAAAAATCTCTATTATCACAATAGCAACAATAATGTACACAGAGTAATGGATCTGGAATGCTTACTTACTAGTCTAGTTCTATTTCCAAACGGAAAAAAAAAAAGCCAGAATGACAGCATCCTTTTTTAAGCCTTTCATTATTTAAAATTGATGTTTTCTTTTGGTTTCCCATAGGGTTCTATATCACAGTAAGCTTAAAAATGGAAAGCATCCAAATGAATGATTTCAAATTGTGTTGGCATTGGAAAAAATCCTTGTATTAATCTAAAGAAACACAAAAAGACTTTCACTAACTCCACATATAGGAACTAAGTCAGATAGTGTACATTACATCATGACTTTGAGAAGTATTAAGAGCATAACTAGCTAGGTACTTCTAATAAGGAAAGGTATTTTATTACATTATTGAACTTGGCGGTGATTTCAACTGAAGAATTTTTCTTTTATGTTTTAAACTGATCAAAAATCAAGGAAGTATGGATATAGGGAAATCTAAACTTATGTTTGTACGTGGAAGATATCGTAGTATTGAATGGAGGGGACTAATTTCTAAGTTTTACTTGTTTTTAAAAAATGCTGATTTAGAATGATATAATTTGGAGTTACACCTTTTCTGTCTAGAAAAGGAATTGAGAACATGTTCAAGTATGCGTTATCTTCATACACCTCAGCCACTGGTAAAGGGCAACTTCATGCAACCAAATAATATGAAAATCAAAAAGTAACCCTTATAAAAAAGGGTAAAATGTCATTTCTGCAAACACAACAGATAGGAATGTGAATAATGTGCATACAAACTGGGATGCTGTTGATGATACTAATGAAGAGATGTGATGATTCATATCAAATCCAAGAATATTAGACAACCAAACATGTAACCTTCTTGTGTTTTCCCTTAATAGTCAGCAGTCATTATGTTGGTTAAGTCTGAAAGAGAGAGAGAGAAAAAAGATATCACATTTAATTTAAGAAAAAGCATACTGTAACAAACTTTATGTAACTAATGCCTTACTGCCACACTTCAAAGGCCCGGGCTCAAGGAGCCACCTGGTCTGTTCCAACAATAACGTTTTTCTAAACAAAACTGCTTATATCAACTAAACATCATCAACTAAAGAATCAATTAAACAGACCGCTATAGGATAGTAGAGAACACAGTTTAACAGTAAACGTTTGGGCTTTATTCAAATAAGCAGCTCCAGTCACAGATGTGGTTGTTTTTCTGTTTTCCCCAATCACTTCATTAGGAATCTCTTAGTGTTCTTCACACACAGCCACCATCTGCATTTTTCCACTACCCCAGATCCCTGCCAGGCTCTGTGCAGAAGCTCAGGCTCAGCTGGATCCCTGAGCACCTCCCGATGTTGAAAACAGTGTTTTGTGCTCAAACACCCAGCAAGCACGGAGAAAGCTGACCAGTTTTCCTAGCTAACAGATCGGAATGCTGCTTCTGAAAAGGACAGAGTGGAGTTGGCTTGGAGTTCTCTGGGAGGCGATGACAGAAAAGGAAGAAACTCCCTCTTCGTGACTGAGTCAAGGTCAGCACTTGCCTCCACTGGCATCAGTGGGAACAGGATCACTGTTCTCATGTGATCCTGGCAAATGTCTCCAAGTCTTGGTTTCTCCATATTAAGCAGAGATAGCAAAACTCACCGACAGGCACAGGACCCTGCTTTGTGCAGCAGTGTGCTGACATGCAGTGCTACATGCCTACCTAACCCTGAGCAAGGCATCTCTGTCCTCTGTAAAGAATTCTGAGTGAATGCTTGTCCACCCACACCCTGACAGACAGAAGGAAACACAACACAGAAGCAGTACGAAGGAACTAGTACTGCGGTCATCCAAGTTAAAAAAATCATCACCAAGGAATAAGTGGGGGGTACAGGTTAAATCCTCTGGGGAGATGGAGTTTTCATTTTACACAGGATCCAGAGAAGAATATAAAGACATATTAACGTCCTTGTGCTAGCAGTCTGCTGCCTAAGCTCTCCCCCATGGCTACAGCAGACACTGCTTCTCTGCCTGAGGATAAGAGCATATGAGTGCTCACTTGGCAGTCTGGAATCCCAGCCTTGTTGCTGCCCCTGTGAACTAAGACAGAACACTGTTCAGTGTGGTTCTTCTCTCCTGTGACAACAAGTTTGCAAACAGTAAGTAATGGAAACCTGCACTTTCCACGTGGGAGGTCCTGGGACATCCTGACTAAGGACACATGATAACGGGTTATTACAAAATACTCGTGCATGTGATGATGGCTTACAGGAACTGCCTGAGCACTGCCTCCTCCCAAAGGTGTGACAATGTGTTGCTCATCAGAGTACCACGCTCTCATCGACCTCTCTTCTGTTTAAGAGTCACTGAGATTATACTTACTGCAGCTTTGGAGACATGGCTTAGAAGGGTTCATTGCTGCTTCTTTCCCTTCAGAGGGAAGGACAGACACCCATTGAAACAAAAGATTAGTCAACCAAACCACGCCTTCTGCTAAAGTTCTTAATGACAGCTGCTATCCAGCCCTGATGGGTGGTGAAACAGTGAGTCCCTAGGGTACCACTCCCAGCTCCAGTAAGGAAAGCTGTCCTTTTGGAGTATGAAACCTTTGCACTTACTAACAACAACTCCCCTCTGGGCTAAAGCTGGAAGATTGGCTAAGCACCATTTTTATGTGGGGTGCTGGGAATATTAATCCTTCCACTCCCCAGTGTCTCATGGATATGTGTCTTGTGGCACAGGAGGGACAATAAAGGGCTGGGTAGCAAATAATCATGTAGGGTTTCCACAGTTCCCTGCGCCATCTCCCAGCATGGCACAAACAAGACACATTCTGTCTCAGGTGCCCCAGAAGTTGACAGTTCTCCCCTGCTACAGGCATACCCTGGGGCCACGCAGGGACTTTGGCTCCCTCCCCTACCCAGGCAGCTCAGGCTCTCACTGCTCAACAAGGATGCACTTTCCATGGTCTCCATGGTTTCACGTCTCTCCAGAAACAGATCAGCTCTCCTCATCTTTGTCTGAACAAGCCTCTCAGCTTTACTGTACGATTGGTACATGTGCTGCGCTGACCAGTGCTACTGCACACAAAACAAAGAGCACAGAGCATGACTGATTCCAGTGAAACGTATCAGTCGTCAAGAAAATTGAAGGATAGAGAACACACAGAGGGCATAAACCTATATTCACGAATTGCCTTGTTTCTTCTGGCACTGAAAATTCCTTCCTCAACAGTGACTGGCAATTGACTCGGCCATCCTGTACTATAATAGCTCTTGCTGGATGGGCAGAAGGATAATTATTTCCTTGCTGTGTATGATCATTGTTATTCCGTGTTGGTTTAAGGTCAAAATGTTTACAGGATTCAATGCACACAGAGGTGCAGAGTGTATTTAATTTACACCAGCTGCTTTAATCTCAACTTGTGTTCAGAAGTTTATGTTTCTCGTGACTTCTGTCCCATGTGCCATTGCTTTAGCAGCACTTTATCCTGAGCTGCAGGAAGGCAGCAGACAACACAATTCTTTACACCAGAGAGTATGCCACTGTTTGATTTTTACATAGCAATTTCTACTGTGCGATAGTTGTGACACACTGTTACAAATGTTACCTATTTGGAGGGGTAGATTTTAACTTCAAACTGCAGGGAAAAATCAGACAGAAACACACGTTCTGTTTTCATTTTCTGGAAAGATGCCCACATAAACACTTTTACATTGACTAGAGCCCTAACTGCTCTGCTTTCAATGTTGACAAACCGCCAGACCCGTTATGCAGCCCAACCAACGTTATTCTTGAGAAGGAACGAAGGAAGAGCGAAGGAACCAAACATCTCAAAACCACATCAGAAGGACACAGTGAACCTGTGTTTCCTTGGCCAGTTTGGCCATGACACTTGTCTTTCACAGCACTGACTGGAATTGTTGCTACCCCACAAGAACATCACAACAAAAAATATGTCCTGGACTCAGGCTGTTTTAAATATGTTCTCCCAATTGCAATAGTATCAGATGGCAGTAATTTTGGACCAGATTTTGATCCCCTTATTCATGCTGGCAAGCAGTCACCTCCACAAATAGATCCACTGACTTCCATGTTAGTAACTGATTGTCAGTGCAAGCAAAGAGATCACAGTCCTTTACCCCACTTTAATATTTGGGCTGTATCAGGAGCAAAAAAATGTATTTAATTTCCAACAAACCTACTATTTTTCAAAGACTTGGTGAAATCATTTGCCTCCTGAAAGGTAACCCGTGCATCTGTACATGAAGGGAACACCTCATTCACCAACACAGTGTCCGGACTGTCACTAAAATAGTGACTATCAAAAGAAAAACTTGCCACATACCCTGAGCGCTGACCTTAACGTTCAAATAGTCTCTAATAGGGCAGGGACTACAGCCAGCTTTCAAACATCTTTATATGGGTATCCAGAGACTGAAAGGAAAATGCAACTTAGGTGTTCATGATAAAGATTCCGAGTTATGCCAGCCAAGAACCAAACATACAAGTCACTGGAGACTGAAATGTGGAATATAACTCTGGCGCCATGAATTCACCGGTTTATGAGCTAATTTTGAACCATAGAAAGTAAACAACACAGAGCCATGAAGACCTTTGCGCTGGAATATTCTGTTTATGTGGTGCTTTGAGAAAGCCAAAACAATTCACTAACAACAGAGGTCTCGCGTGGGGCATTCTAGGACTCTTGAGCAAGCTCAGGGCTGGGCTGTCTTAGCTAATATATTATTAGTCAATTAGATAATACAACTCTGAGGTTGATGCTTTTCATCTTTCTGGGAAGGAATCAGTCAAAGAACACACTGAGGGAAAGAGCCTGAGAAACAGGTAGTGGCAGGATGCAATTCTAAACTGTGGCTGAGTCTAAGGAAGGTAATGCTCTTCTGCTGAGAGTCCCTGGAGTACTCAAGAATAGTTGAGATACTAGGGAAGGGAGTGAAGAAAAGAAAGCGGCTTTGTCAAACTCAGGGATAAAAAAAATCGCAAATTCAGACCTTGAACAGTATGAAATTGGCTGAAAAAGTTTCACAGCTTTGGAAGTGCTTTTATTTGCTGTGGGTTTGAGCCTTTAGGAAGCCATCGCTTCACATCTTCAAGCTTTCCTCCACCACCTGGAGGTTAGAAATTTCATTAAAAAATACAGGTGAAGATGAAGATGCTCCTGCAATCGTTTGGCTTCAGCTGTTAGCCCTTCAAGAAGATCCCCATAATGCTGAGGGTATGAATGTGATTGAAAGGCAAGGTTGCCTCCAATCTGAAGAGATGTGTCTTCACCTTGCAGTCCATATAAACACATAATGACTACCTCATTACTAGTAGCATTATTAAGAGAAAAGCTTGTTGTATCCTCTAGGCAGCTCTTGCACGGTCAGAGACGGAGGTGCAGAGCACAGGAACAAGGGCTCTCTGGGACACAGCCCATGGGGAGCTGAGCCCTGCACCTTCCACAGCCCTTACCAGCTCCGCTACAGGCGTCTTCTAAGCAGCCGCTCCTGGTGCCAAAACCAGGGGAATGGAATTCTCCCGTCCAGGGCTCTGATTCCCGTTTTTCTGTCTCTTTGCCTTCACGGCACCTTTCTGCAGGCTATTCCAACACAGCCGCTGTCCAGTGCGACCGCGGGCCCGGGCCAGCCCTGCCGTGGTCCATATTGGTGTGTTCCTGGCGCCACCTCATGGCCAGAGAAACACTCTGAGAGTGATGCTCAGGACAGGGAAGTGCGGGGTCTGTGTGTGTGTGTGTGTCTGCACTCCTGTGCTGCGCTGGCGAGGAGCAGGGAGCCCATCTTCACACAGCGTGTTGGTGGTGCAGTGCTCTTCTCACAGGCTACATGTTTTTAAAGAGACCACAATCTCATTGATGATGGTGTCTATTAGCAGACCTAGACATACTTCTCGGTTCATGCCTGTGAACAAGAGGCCCATACCCCAACTCTGCAGGCAAGTGTTGGCCTTTTCCGACCTTTCTTTCTACAGAAGAGGAGTCCAAGCGCATGGGGTGGAGGAGCTCAGTGTCTCCGGTGCGCTCCCAGTCTGGATGTCTGGCAGGACGTGCCTGCAGGACAGCAGCTCCGTGCCCCAGGAGGTCAGTGCAGACACACACTGCTCCAACTGGAAAATACAATCTGGTTACTCTTTCCCCAAGTGCTTGTGTTTGATGAAGGCACACATTCTAAAACCACTCTGATCTGGTTTTGAGGATGCCAGGAGATGGAGTGTCCCCTCCTGGTCCTAAAAGAGAACTGCACTGCTGACAAAATCCCAGAAGCAACACCGAAGAGAATTTACATGTGAAATGCTGATTCTGTGGCAGAAATGCCCAAGATGAACTACCTGGATCAGGATGTGAATTTCTCCAAACTTATCAGTGCTTATAAACCCTTAAAACCATTTCTCCATCTCTTTTTTAGTACATACTACTAAACCTTCACCTTTCCCATGTTAAAAGCATCCAAGATCTAGTTAAAGAAGTTCCAGTGTGAGGTGAAGCCTGAGCATTGGAGTTGCAGAAGTCAGAGTAGAGTCAGCCCCTCATGTGGGTGTGACAATGTGGACTATATTTCTGTGGAGCTGGTGCTGGCAGGAAGGACAGACTGCTGACACTTCAGCACAGAGTCTAAAATACCTGCAATCCTGAAAACACTGCAGAGCAGCTCCATGATGTTCCATCATGCTGGACTCTACCTCCAGCTGTTACAAGTGTGGCAGATACAGAAGGAAGAGCTGTATGAATGTCACCCACACAAAGCCAACATCCTAGGTGGCTTTTTAGCCGCTGAGTCTGCAACTGAACAAACTCAGTAAGCATTTAGTCCTTACATGGAGAACATGCCTGAAGTTCAGTCACATCCACTGTCATTGCTACAAATACAGGAAACAAAGCAAGCTCTCCTGAACCTTTTGCCACCTCAGATACACCTTAGGGCCTGTTTTCTTACTCAAATACCTATTTGAAGACATAAAAGCGTCACAGGGTTCATTACCTAGAATGTGGGCAACAGATGCTCTCGCTACACTCCTCAGCCCCAGAATCAAATACTGTGAGGTGCTGGGAAGGCACAATCGGGCACAGCATCCCATTGTATCAGCTAGTGGCTTAAGGCAGTGGCTTATTCAGAGAAAATGGGAGAGGCTCAGGGCATGTTACTGTCCTGGCCCTGCGAGCCACATGCCAAAGTGTTTATAAGGTGAAGAGCCACGAAACACATTCACTGTACTGCAAAGAGATGGGGGAGAGGAAGCTCCGGGAGGAGGTTCTAAGCAGGAGACAAGAGCAGCTCCCCAGAGGTTGTTCTGTGAGAATGGGAGGAGGCTGAGCACGCAGCTGGGTGCTAAAGGTACCTTGGCAATGTCAGAGAGAGCCTGCGCTGGCTGGCTTCCTCTCACATGTGGGGATTCGTGCCACTCAGCAGCTCCTGCGACAGCCCAGCCTGGCTGCTGGCCACGTGGCAGGGCCTTTGCATGGGAACCTCATGAGAACTGGCTCTGAGATGGAGCTGCGAGTGCTGGAGCAGGGAGGCTTGTGCTGCTCCAGTGTCTCAGAAACAGCACTGGCTCTTAAAGGTGGCTGATGATTAACCAATTCCCATGCTAATTCCCTTGCTCAGCAGCCTTCCTTTCTGCTGTTGTGGTCACAAAACCCCAATATTGATACAAACACAAAACTGACACAAACATACAAGGAGATCATATGAAGCTGCTCTGGAGCATACAATATATCCCCTCCTTGGAGAGTCATCTCCCATGTCAGGATCTGCCCTGAAACCTGCAGCATGCAGTCTGTAATGTGCACATAAACCTTCATGAACTCCAGAGGGGTCAGTGGGACTGCACAAATGTTAAACCAGTGTGAAAGGATAAGCAGGCTCCCACTGTTTAGTGAGCCAAAAGGTATTATGCAAACAGTCTGATTCTGCTCTCACATCCATTTTGCATCATTCCAGCTCATGGTTTTCAACAGTTCTTTTCAGCTGACATCTATGCAAGTGTTGGAACAAAAATAATGTGTGTAGTATCTTTTCCTATTCAATTCCTATTGCTTCTCTAGAGCAAAATTTGTTTCAGTGCAGGACCAGTCCCATGTTTCTGTTACAGACACATTCTGAACACCAAAATGCAGTGTAAAAAGATCTCACGTGGTATATACACAGGTCACTGCAATTGCCTTTCACCCCTGGCTCCGCAGCCCCCTTGTAGCAAACTGCATGGGAAGTGAATGGCATTAACAGAAGATTACCCCTTCACTGGTTTTCTGCAAATCTGAAGAAGTGTTTCTTGTGTCATTGCCTGCGTCCCCAGCATCGGAGCTGCTCTTATTTTCTTCCTCTTTGCAGTCCTTATCATCTTCATCTCCAGGAGATTTCCGTGACTGCTTGGAGGATTTCTGAAATGATTGACAAAGGTCAAAAGTAAAAACTGAGCTTCAGTCACAGAAAACCACTTTTGAGATGCATGTGTAACGCTGTCTGATGATGTGGTTCCCTGTTCAAGGTGAACACTGGGGAGGATATGTGGGGTGAAAGGTGTTTTTCAGGTGAAGTACTTGGAGTTACTGCCATCAATGAAACAGAAGGAGAAATTCTGTGTTCAACACAGGTTGGCAGCACAACTGACTGTAAGACACAGTAATAGGAGATGGGTATTAGTGTTGGGTCACCTGTAGGTTTTGTTAGTTAATGAAACAGATGGTGCCAGCTTGACAAAAGTTTTGATTAAACACAGAGATGTAAAATGAGAATAACATTAGCAGAGCTGCTTTCCATACTTTTTTTAGTGCTGTCAGCTTTAATATATTAACATTAAAGCCATGTGGAACCAATACATCTTTTCTGCTCCCTTTATGTTATGCAATTCTACAGTACAAAAGGATAAATTGTGGCATTAAGCCACCATTTTCCTAATCCTCTGTTTGCCCAGAGTCTTCTGGAAAGAAAATGGTAGACCAGACCTGAATTTGTAATGTAAAACACACAAAGGGGGTGAAATTACTTACTACGTTTTGTTCAGTGGGTGAACCACGAAAATTCCTGCTCTCCCCCAGGCTGAGCCTGGATCACATTGTTTACTTGCTTCTCATTTCACTTAGTTTTCACTTTCAGAGAAGAATAACATGAATGCGACTAAATGTGACTCTGCCACCTTTTCCACATTTTTTAAAGCAAATTACAGACTTAGAGGCACACACAAAACTGGAGGAAGTGACTATAATGCTGCTCCGTTTCACCCACATGGCAAGTGAGAAGCATACCTGAACCCAAAGATGTCCGTGTGCTGGGGATTACATTCACCAGCCATTAGGAGACAACCTGAGACACGTTACCCTTAGCTTCCTCATCTGACCCATTACTTAGACATTAAGAGGGCTGGTAGGTACTACATTGCAAGTCTTTCATCTCCAGATTGAGCGCCCTCCTCGCTGCTTAATGAATTAGTTCTTCCTCCATTCTGTATCCTGTGCTGAAGCATTTTACACTCAGCTACAAGAGCAGATGAGCACATATGACCCGACGGCATTTTAGCACAGCATCTGGGGCACTCACACTGGAGACGGAGAGGGAAGCATGAATTCTACTGGACAGGAACCAAACCTGAACTCACGTCTCCCAAGATGCACACTCCTAAGGCATTTTTTGCTCCTTATGGGGAAATAGTTACCTAAGAGGATCAAACCAACTAATCCAACTTTGCCCAGATTTTCTTTCCAGCCCTTATGAACTCCTTCCCATACTTTCACCTCCCCCCTCAAAGTGTGGGCAGCAGGACAGGGCAGAGTATTTCAACTGCTCTCTCACCAAGGCTGTCACAAAACCATCAGCACTTCCCTTTGCCTGTTTGAACACTATTGTTATGGTGCTGCAATCAAAATGCTACAGAAGGACGAACAGATTGCCATGAGGTGGACAGTATTCTAACTATAAATGCCCATTGGTGACAATGGAAAAACTCAGAAGACAACCTTTGAAGTGTAGGATTTTTTCCGTTTTGAGCCTGCTTTTTCATTCTTTCTTTTTCCTTTTCCATCCTCTTCTACCCGATCACCTTCCTCCTCACTGCTGGCATCTGCTGTATTTCCTCCTTCTCCTTCAGTTTCTGATGAGCTCTGTTGCTGAATTGCCTTTAAAATAACAATAATAACATAAACAGTAAAAAAACCCCACTAAAATCTATTACCTCATTTTTGTTCTGTATTGAAGATTGAAAGACTGTAACAGGCAGCTTACACTTCGATCACTATAGTCAGGAAGAGCTCAGGTTATTCCTGCAATTATCAAGAAAAAGGGCTGCAAGGGCAATTGTTTCAGACACCACTTGGAAGCAGTTATCACACACAAGTTCTGGGATAGCATTTTCTGAAGGGGTTACGCAGAAACAGAAGATCCAATAACAAAAATGTGTTTGCCAGGGAACTAGGGGTTGCTCAGTTCAGAGACCTGGCCCCACTTTGGGTGAAACTATGGAAAATGTTAGACTTTGGCTGCAACACAAGAGACTTAGGAGAGAAGGTGGCTGTTACAAACCCCCCACAGCGCAGGATTCTGTGTTAGGAAAAAGCAAACACTGACCAGAAGGCTGAGAGCCCTTTGACAGCCCATCTCCCACAGACTACACACTAGAGGGCTTTTTTAATCCCCAAGTGTATGCAAAACATCTGCAGGGGTGAAAACATGAAACAGGAACTGAGAGGGGCAGCAGCTTGCTTGCAGGTGGTCCATAACTCTGGTTTGTAAGGTTTTGTGCTAATAATGTAATAGGTGTTTGCCTTCTTTTAGAGGTGATTTCTGCCTTCAAAGGACCATATTTTTTTTAATGAGAAAAGTTCTTTGGTTTTACCCAGCCCACCAACTCCTCTTCTCCCCTCCAGTTTCACCAGCTTTTCTGTTCCGGACATCCTACAGGGAGAGCTGTTGTACAGCAGCTCCTATCTCGTAACAGCAGCTTAAACCTCCACTTTCTCACCCCTCACATCTTTGGCAGTGGTGTCCTACATGTTATACGTTACCGATGTAAAAATCAAAAGTGCAGTGACCTTAAGGTCCCTGTAAAATACACTGAACCTGCTACAAAAATAAACAACAGAAAGGAGTCAGAAATTATTCATGTTTATACTGCAGTAAATAAAACCTTCCATTTTTAATTCAACTAAATCTGCTGCAGAATTTTCCACTTCACCACCCCAGAATATCACAGAATGCAGAGGGCTCTGCAGTATGATTAAAGCTCAATTTGTCACAGAGTGCAAGACCACAGTTGTCTCTACATTACACAATTACAAAAGCTGTGAAACTTCCTATCTCCACCAAAACCAGGATCTTGCACATCACTCATACCATGTTTACATTGACAAGAACTCCTCGGAGAAGCAAACGAGAAAGATGAAGAATACAACTGAAAGTCATTTACCTGATATCCAGTAAACTTTACTCCAGGGTTGTTTTCTATTTCCCACAGGCCTTCATTAAATCCTTTTCGCTTGTTTGACTTCCCAAACTTATCTTTGTATTCTTTATATGGGAAAAGGTCTTTGGGCCCCAGGAACGCACTGCATTTTAACAAAGGTAAAATTCAAAAAAGGACTTAAATTGCTCCTCTTCCAAAAACCCACCCACCATTAACAGTGCATATATTTTCCCTATTCTTCTGCTCATTCCATCACTTCTTTTCAGTTTTATTTATTTGTTTATTTATTTAACACACTGGCTTTGAGTTACTGCTGTGAGTCTGATTTAATGCACTGGCTCACCATCCTGATGTTTGATGTTGCAGAATCATGCTGCGTCTCTCTAGAAACAACTAAACCGAGTCTCATTTATTGTATTAACTACTGCTGGGAACTGGCACTGGAGCAGTTTATGAAAGGGATTATATGACGTGATTGCCTGCAATAGCAGGGGACCAAACTTCTAATCCTATGTGTTACAGATCCAGAAAGGCCTAGAAATACCATAGTTAAAGCCCATAAGGAGTGCCTAGAACCCAAGAGCCAGAACTTATCCCTTGTACTAAGGGACAGAAAAATCAGTGGCATTCATTATTATCTATACTGCCAGAAAGCCTGGGAGCTTCTTTCTTGGAATAAACCCCCCACATGCTAGATTCTGTGCAAACAAAATAAAAATGCTCTCTGTCCCCAAAATTTTACAATTTCATATAAGGCAAGAAACAATGGGTGAATATAGGCAGATGAGTAACACATGGAAACAATGAGACACACAGGGTGCTGTGGCTAAAATGTTTTTTAGACAGCAAAGGAGGGATTTTGTGCTCTGCTGCTGCGTAAGTCAGCTCTGTACTGGGCCAACTAATGTCAGGCAGAGGCACCACAATGCAGGGAAAAATAATTACAGAAAGAAAGAAGAGTGGTGGTTTATCCACTTTCTTGCTACATACTTCACAGTCTAACTTCTTATGTAAAACTGAAGAAAGCACAATTTCCTTTCCACTGGGTATCTGTATCCAGTGTGTTTGCTCTGCTCTGTACTACAGTACTGGGATAGCTAATTGTAAGTTCAATTAAAAATAGTGAAGGCAAAAAACTCCTTTCATTCCCACATGGAAGATTCTATGTCACCAGTGACTGAAGACGAACAAGTCACAGTGTCCTTCACTATAATCACTGTCCTACTTTCTTGATGGTCTTTGCAATTAATGTTAACTCTATGGTCTCCACTACCAGGGGATTGTGGAGCTCCACCATTTACAACACATTTATTCTCATACATCACCATGGGGTTGGGAAATTGCCCTTTTTTGTAGATGGGCTTCTGAGGCACAGAGATTTGCCCAAGGTCAAACTCAAACTGACAGCAGAGTACAGAAGAAAACCCAAGTCTCTTCAGTCTCAGGCTAACAACTTAATCACAGCATCACATCTTCCTTGCTGTAAATGTTATTTCAGATTAATGCCCGATTTATGCCCTGATTCTTCCCAGCGCTTATGAATGTGAAAAGTTTCATTCCCTTTATTCATCCCACTGGCAAGAAGTTTGCCAGCACAGAGCCAACTGGTGGCTAAAGGCATTGGGTGACATGTCTCAAGAGAAAGAGCTTTCCTTGAACTACACATGAGACAGAATGGTATCCACACCCAGTTGTCCCATTGAGAAATATCTCAATTATAGAATTATAAAGCCAAGAATACTTTTCCACCTGAAAGCCAAAAGTGATTTCCAAACTAACAGATGTCTCGTTAATATTAAAGGCTCCAATGAAGTAATGGATCTGAATAAATTATCTTACCTATGCTCTTGCTAATGCTAGATGTCTTCTTGTTGCCAAAAATACATACAAACAGTTCTAACACAAATAACAGAGGAAAACTGCATGAAACTTACCATGAGCTACCTTATTTTAGCTCTTTTATGTACAGTGAACACTGAAAGACTGCCTACATCTTTGTTTGAAACTCATTCATTGCCACTGGGAGGGTGTAACAGTTTCCACTGCTCTGCTATAAAACGAAGGAGCTGCAATCTAAAACTCATTTTTAATAGCTATGCTTTTTAAATTGTTAAGGTAGTAACTACAAACTGTTTTCCTGTTTCAGATGTTGCTGTCAGACCATGGGCTAACAAAATCCAAAACAAAGGGATCACCAGATTGGGATTTTATTTCAAAATAAAAGTGGTCAGAGGTTTTTCTCAAAATATTTCTCAAGGACAACAGTTCCATTATGAAATAAAATCACATTTTGGTTTCTGATTTTAAAGCACCATAAATTTACTTGAACTTTATTCTTTTGGGATTATTTTTGACAGTAGTGGTAGATCACAATATAGCAAAGTATCAGGTTGTTTCCTTACAGCAATGGGAAGAAATACTTTAACTAGAGAGAGGCTATTTTAACCTTTATTAAGCAGAAACTGCCTTTAAAGATTTTTAAAATAAATTGGGATGCATGAGCTATGGGGTTTTTAATTATGGAATAATCTTAAAATTAAAAAATAAACAATAGCGTTTTAATAAAGCTTCAAACCTCTACAGTTGAATTTAAATGCAATCAGAATTTCAATTTTTAATTTTTACATTTTTTAAGGAATTCTAGAAAGCGTGTTGCCTGCAAATAGGGAAGAAAAAGTTTTAAGATGTGGCTATTTCATGCAAGATGGAAACTTTGATTTATTTTTAACTACCTCAAACATAGTTTAAAATAGAGACGTGGACATTGTAACTGTGAAACTCCGTAGTAATTACTGTGAGACCTAACTTACCCTTTCTGTTCTGATTCCTTTGTTTCCCTACGAGCTCATCCAGCTCAATTCTTCTGTCACTTCTGAGAGCTCCATCCTACAATATTCCCAGCACAAATCTCACAGGAACGCATATACTTTAAGGCGTGAGACCCTGGGGTCTGCTTCCTTTCTTTTTATGAGCCTACCAAGCAAGTTCTCACACAGGACATGAACCCAAATGTGTCTGAATGCAACAACCTCATCTCTGTTGTCAGCTACATCCAAGTAACAAAAAATTGCCCCTGCATCAGAACTCAGATGATCCTTTCATAAATTCATGCCAACACTTTTCTTTATGGGAAACACTAGCACTGGTTATTATTTATACTTAGACCATGATATATCATCCATGCAGCAGCATTCCCACCTACTTTCAAGTTTAACTTCCATGTCTTAATACAAATGAGTTGGGCTCCTAGGGCCTGTCTCTAAGCTCCCAATGGCTTCAGTCAGGACTGTTCCAGTAAAATCAGTGGAGATGGCATCAGCTGCAGTGGAAGAAGTCATTCTCAAAGGAAAAGGTCATGTTCATTCACTTACGTTTCATGAGTCCCAAAAAAGAAGATGGGGTATTTATTTGCTGGAGGCTTCACGGCTCCTTCAGGGAGTTCATCAATCTGCGAGACAGAAATGGAAAAAAGATTATTCCCTAATGTGGTGTCCCTCACCCAACAATCCCTACCAAGCCATGGAAGTGCTAGTGCCAGTGTCCTATCCTGGGGTGAGGAAGGGAAGACGGCTGACTTTCAGGCAGGCAGGTCACACAGAGCCAGCATATGACAGAAACACTACAGGGAGGTGACAGAAGACCAAGGAGCCGACAGAAAGTTTTAATGATTTCATGGGCATTATAGTACACAAAGGTAATAAAATCAAGTCTGCTTAATGGAAGTGTTAACTTCAGATGCTGCCTCATCAAAGGCACAGAGCCCAGAGGGTAATCCTGTCATCTCACACAGCCACCTAAGTAACTTCTGCAACAAATGGCTTACAGATGGTATCTCTGAGACTGTGCAACTGGAAAACCGGACAGTCTCCCATCAGCGCTTCCTGGCTGTGATGGTGGTACACAGTGTAAACTGCACAACATCCCCCAGGGAAGAGGGCCTGGAACTCTCCTTCCCCTGCAGCATCCCAATAACTGGTTTTGGTCACTATTCTGCTTTGTACTCCATCTCTTCTTTCGCATTTTATTGCTGGCCTCATATTTCTCAAGATTCAGCTGCAGAGCAGCTAAGGGAGGCACGGCGAGGGTGCTCTCCTGCAATATAACTGGGACTGGGACAAACCCTGAAGGCTAAGCAATGCCTAGATCCCGTCTTCAGATGCCTTCAGACTTGTTGCAAGGCAGGAGGTTAGGCCCATGACTTAGTCTCATCCATATCCAATTTCTCAGTCCTCTGCAACAGAAATGAGAGAGTCCAGGTGCCTACCCACATAAACCAGAAACACAGCTCAGCTTTAAATAAGATCTAAGTGCCTGCCTTCCTAGAAATGGCACTTCTGAGCATATGTGGCCATCTAAAATGAAGTGTCCAGAGAACTCTCCTGCTAAGAGCAAACCTAATGAATCTAGATATCTATAGGGCAACACCAAAGAGCAGGTGAATGGCTTGCTGCCTGGGTCTTAGCAACTCAGTCTCAACATAAGCATATTGAATCCTGTCAAATGTCACTGGAACTGAGAACAAAGTGCTGACATACCAGTGCTATACACAATCTGCTCCTCAGCAGAGCAGGGGATGGAACCTGCATGTTTTCACTCAGGAGACCAGGCCCACATGTGCTTTCCTTCTCTCTTCCTGCCGAAGGACCCCAAACACTGATTTCTTGTTGATTAATAAACACCAGATTGTTTTCAAAGGATTTTCTCTTTCACTGTAAAGCATCTGCTGGCTACATGGCTCTCAAAGGAGTATGAGCTTTTGTAAGAATTCAAGTCCTTTTGGTCTTTCTGCAAGGACACCCTTTGGGGACAGGGAAATGAGAGCCACATGTGAAGCTGTAACATCACAGGACTCCTTCCTGCAAAATAAATGGATGCCTGTCTTTTAGGTGGAAGTGGAGCATTCTCTGAGGTACGCCAAAATCAGGGGATATAAGAACACTTCCAAACCATCCCCTGTCTCTTTTCTGCATCAGGACCCAGAGATGCAGATGGTGGGGCTCTGGTCCACTGGGCTGTGTGTCACCATGCACTCACTACCCACCACCTTCTGCATGAGACAATCCATGATGGTCAGAGGTGTCACACACCTAGTGGGCACAGCAATTACCCAACTTCCTTCACTTAACAAAGCCAATGAACTCATAAATAAAAGGAGAATCTAATATTTAAATGCATATAGAAGGAAGATACACACTGGTAGAAAATGGAAACGTGCAATCCCTTTTAGCTCATCTGCGTGTAAGAAGGAACTGAAATGACATGACAGGCTGTTTGGTGTTCTCATCAGGAATGCATAGAGAGAAAACTGCCAAAGATATTTTTTTTTAGAACCCATTATCTTCTGACATGAACTATTTGTTTTTAAATAAGTGTCCATAATGTGGTTATTTGTTCACTAATTCATGATTTAAATATAGGTATTAGATTATAACTGATAATAACACTGAAGGGAAAAACACTTTACAGACGGACAGCAAGTCAGGGAGACAGTATATCCCACTGTAACACTTTTTATGCCTCCTTAGAGATGGAAGTATCTACACATCAGACCAAAAAAGGCCATGCTGGCAGTTTATCAATTGCAATACACCTCAACTGTCTGGATGCCATAGCCATCCTCCTCTTTATTATGACAAGGAAGATGTTCAGAGAGATACTAGACTCCAAAAAATGTGGACCCCCATGACTGAGACAAACAATATCTGCTGGGACTTGAGTATGAACCTCATTTGGCTGCTTGCAGCACGGCACCAGCTCTGGGCTGCATTACAGAGCAGTACAGCCCAGTTACTGTCTCAGTCCTTTAAGAATTTTTCATGAAATAAAGCAAACAGCTGTAAATGATCAGTAAAGCAGGGGAATGAACACATGCTTAGTAGGAGCGCTGATCAGAAGGGAATGGGGATCTTACATCACACAACGTGCTGTGCTCCAAAGCAGTAAGGATCTTCTCCTAAGCAGCATCCCAAGTGGAATTAAGACCTCACGTTGCATTCCCAGCACTTTATACTGTTAGGTAAGGAGCAGCACCAAATTGACGAAGGACAGCAGACTTATCTGTCACGCAGCTCACCTGCTCCCCATTTCGTGGTGTATTTCTTTATTCATCCAAGTATCCCCTCTGACTATGTATCATCACAGGAAACCACAAAAAAGCTTTTCATAGCTTTTGAAAGTTGGCATACACGTACAGACACATGCAGTATAAATCTGCACTAAACAGCTCAAGGATAGACTGCTAATGCTCCTACTCCAACATTTCACTGCGCAGCTGAGGTTAAGACTTTTCCTCCCTTCCCCAATTCTGCTGTGAGCTCCCTAGCTCTCAGGCTTATGTTGCTAGTACTCTAATGAGGTTGAGTATGAAGTGACAGTGCTGTCTTATGGACATTTAACTGCCTGGAAAAAAACTAGGGAATTTAGTGAAGGATGAGACCCTCTCTGCCATTAAGAAAGATCTTCCCTTTTCACCCGTTTCACATGAACCCTGCATTAGAGACTGTGAGAGGAGAGCTTTGTAGAGTCCACCATTCTCAGCAAAACCATCTTACCCTTTGTGAACACTGAGCCCCTAAGTGCTCGTTTAGCTGCAGAACAAGTCCAGCACTCCTTGATGATTGCTGCTGTTCTGCAGTAACAGAAAACAAGCGGTACAAGCAACCATATTGCAGCTTCCTGCTGCTGCGCTCAGTCACAATTTATTCCCGTCCTACAAGCTGTTTTGGTTAAATGTGCTGAAGGTTTGGATCTGATATTTTTCCCCATATCAGCAAGATCAAAGGCAGAGAGAGAGGGAGGGAGAGAAAGAGAGCGAGCGCATGAGCACAACAGCGAGAAAAGCATCACTGCCGAACCAGGAACAAAAGAGATAAGTGCACCCATACTAGGACACAGTGTTGTAGTCGCAGAAACCTCACTAATGACTAAAGCATCCGTCTATCAGAGAGAGGGACTGCGATTGCATTTTGCTTCTGGAGGGAAACAAACAGATTCTAAAGTACCCGTTATAACCTGCAAACAGGGGATCCATCCCCTCCTGAACCAGAGCAGGCAGCAGGCTGGAGCTTGCTGCCACAGACATCAGAGAGAGCCCTGCATGGTGCGCAAATCTGATCTGTGCATTAGCAGCATCATGGGCAGCCGCTTCAATTATGGCTAAAATTAAAGCAGGTGGTTTCAGATTTCAAGTTTTATCCCCTTTGCTCCTGTTGCTGTCATCTGCTTAATGAATAACAATTGCTTTCTTTTTGCACAACCTCAGCAGCGCTGCACTTCCCAGCATTTGATTGCCAACCAAGCAGCAGAGCTTTAAAGATGTAACTGTGCTTCTTTTTCTTCCCAGTAAACAAATGCCAGGCTTCTAGGGTCAGGAACTCAACGGAGAATTCAGCCTGGACCTCTCAAACCAGAGCAGGGCTTTACCAAATGGTGTTGCTAGGGACTACCTATGTGCAAGCAAGAAATCTGCCTCCTTACATTGTAATTTACATGCTAGGATGTATACGCAGCCTGAATATTTTGCTCTTGGTGGTGCTAATTGCTGCATTCTCGGGTATTTTCCAACTATTCTCGTAGTATTTCCAACTAGTTGTCACAGGCTGGTTTGTCAGTACTCACTGCAACACTTTCTTCTCAGTTGCCATGAGGTGAGGGACCCTGGGGAGAGAGGCGCTGGCTGGGTGGGTTGGACGGGAGCCGCAGCCCTGCGACGAGGACGGTGCAGAGCTGCCTGCCGAGAACAACAGTGGCTCCCAGAATTCTGCACAAATCATCCCCGTGCCTGCCTGTGGGATAACGTGGCATATTCCAGACAAGCGGAGGAGCTCCCTGGGAGGGCTGGTGCAGAAGCAGAGGAAGCTGCACCCCCTCCTGGGTGTTCTGCTCTGCAGAGCTCTACATTCCCTGCAAAATGGGAAACATGTCTCTCCGAGACACGGAGAGAACAGCAAGCTTTGTCTCTCTGCTTGCCTATGTAAAGCAGCTTTCTGAGGAGGTTTTTGTTATTGCAGCAGTCAAGAAAGGGGCAGTGTTGCCCATCAAGGCAGAAGGGCATCCCAGGTGCATCTTCTTCCACTTGAAGGGACAGCAGGTGTCGTGTTGTATGGCTATCACAAAACCTCTGTGCTGTGTACAAGCTGCTGTTCAGAAGCAGGAATTCCAGGCTGTCAGGGTGGCTTTCAGACCAGACCCTGTTCCATTATGTTCCAACAGAATTTTACACTGCAAAATAAAAAGGTATTATGCAAAAATACCTAGCAGGTCCACATGTACCAACAAGAAAGCCTTACTTCAGTGTGCAGAGATGCTTTTGTGGGCATTGAAACCACAAGAACAAGTCCCTTTTATTTTGCAAAAGAGGGAATTAAAACTGCAGAGCAGTAATCACTGATTGTTTTGACATACTGTAAATGCCTTTGATTGGCAAAAGCACACAGAAGCATTGCAGAG